AAGCGGTTAATTTATTATAGAATATACGAATATTCCGGTTATTCGTAGAATAAATTAAATTTTTTAATATAGAAGCAATTATAAAATATACGAACGGTCTCGGTAGTATTTTATTATATACGTTTAAAATTAGTAAGGGCGGAATATTTGATAATTTAAATATTATTACTATATTCCTTCTTTAGAAAAGTATATAAGTCTTTTTAAATAAGAGTGTTACGGATAAGGTTATAATTAATTTTCTTTTCAAGGGTTATAATATATTTAATTTATACGTTTTTAAAATTATTTTTAATACAATTAACGATGAAAGAAAGAGGACTCTAGGGGTATTTAGAATAATAATTATTAATATTAAAAATAAAGCTACGTAATTAAAAGGAGCTTTTACTAGTAAATTTAAAAATATTAAATTTAGGACAATATTTAAATAAAATAATAAATTAATTTAGTTAAATAAATATAAAAATAATTGGTATTATAATTTAAGGAATAATAATAAAAGTAGGAAAGGTCGAGAAGTACGTTTAATTATAGAAAAAATAATCTTAATAGTAGAATCCGAAGGGGATAAAAGAGTAATTACCGAATTAATTTTATTCTAATAAATTTATAAAATTATTCTAATCGTATAGAAATATATAAGATAGGAAGTAAGTTAAAAATAATTTAATAGCCGCTACGTAGGATTCGAAGAATTTTTATTTTTATACTATAGTATCGTTTGTTAAATAATAGAAAAAATTATATAAAACGTACGAGGGGGTAAAGGAATAATCGCTATCCGAACTATCGTCGTTTATTTCTTTAACGGTCGGCTAACGATATTAGGACGAAGGAAGAAGTTATTATTGAGAGTTATTATCGGTTGTGGTAAGAGGGGTAATAAATAATTCTTATATATTAGAAATAGAGGGAGGGGTTTCTTCGCCAGTCCGAGAGACGGATTGTCTACTACGTATTTACATCCTATCGGTAACGGCTTAATTCCTGTAAAAAGAGCTATTAATATATTAGGATCATAGAGGAAAGTAAGTTGAAGTGCCTACGGATAGTGTAAATATATAGGAGACGTTAAAGTAGAGGGAGGATTAAAAATATATTAATAATTCACCCTAATAATTTTGGAGGCGAGTTCGACCAGTTATTTATATTGTTGTAAACTCTATTCTATAGTAATTAAGTCCGCCACGGCTCCGAACCGTTCTAACGCTATACTACGGCGCTATGCTATGCGGATATCGGCGCTCCTCAGTATTGGCACGGGTCCAACGCCTGACAGGTCCCTAGCGACTTAATAAATAATATTATTTTTAAATTAATAGTATATTTCGAATTAGTCTTAGGGAAATTTCTAATAATATTCCGCTTTAAGGGTAATTATATAAGTATATAACTACTCTAATAATTTCTATCCATAATTCGTAAGGAAAATTTATACTTAATTGTATTACTATACCTTTAATTTTAATTATACCCCTTAAACGCTCTACACCGCCGTTTTAAATTTATATATAAAGCGTTAAAAGTTTAATACTAATTCCTTTAGTAGTAAATTAAATAGTAATCTTTTTACTACTAATTATTTTATTATTATGTTTAATTACCCGAAGTATAATTTAGTATTAAGTTTATAACTTTATGTAGAGGGATTCTAAATATGTAATAATAAATTCGGCTTCTCTTTTACCTAAGTAATATACCTAAACGAATCTAAACTACCGGTTTACAATTACTATTAAATTTAAATATTTCTAACCCCTTACTTTTACTTCCTTATAAAAAAAGAAGTCGATAGTTAGTTATAACCTAAGGCCCTCTAAATAATTACGAATTTCTCTACGTACTTAGCGTTTTAATTTAATTTTAATATATAATTCGTAATATACTATATTTAATCCTTTAAATCGTATACTATACTCTTACTCTATTAATTTAATTAAAATTTCGGGTCTTAAGTAGCTAAATCGAAGATAGTAGCGAAAGGGCTCACCCTCTTAAGGCTTCCACTTAATATAATTTATATACTATATAGTAAAAGAAGATTCGTTAACGCTATTCTGTAAAAGGATATATTCTAAAATAAATTATTTATATTTAGAAGGGATATAATAAATAAAGAAATTTATAAAACCAGAACGTAAATAATTATTTTTATAGTCCTAATAAATTTATTCATTTTCGAATTATTTTAAGGAAACGAAGTTATAAATTATACCCGGTTCTAGAACGACGTTAAGGAATTAAAACTCCTTATTTCCAACGTCGTCCTAAACTATAATTATAATAATATTATACCTTCGATAAAAATCCGCTTATTTCCAACCTATATATAATTACTAATATTTAATAGGGCAAAGTTTTCAAACCGATTAATTTTATTAAAAATATATATTATTATATTTAAATGAAGGATTATAAAATCTTTTAATGAGTATATAGCGCTATATTTCATTATAAGTATTAAGAAACTGCTTTTATTTACCCGGCGTCTATAGAATTAATTATTTTAATCTTTGTTGTCCTGCTACGTTCGTAAACGGTTGATGGCCTCTTTAAATATTTTATCCTTTTTTAAATTAGCGAACGTACGCTTTTTAATAATAGGACTTTCGACTTAACTTTTATAAGCTAACTATTACTTAGTATAATAATATTTATTTAAATTATAACCCGGCTACTTATAGAATTTATATAGGAATTATCCCAATTATTTATTTACTAGCAAAGACGAGGAGGAAGTACACTTATTCTTATTAATATTCTTCCTAAATTTACTACTTCTATTTATAGCCTTTCCCTATCCCTCTACCTTTAGGCTAAAGTTTTATTTATTACTAAGAGTTTTTTCTTTAATAGGTTTACCATTTAATATAATTACAAATACAATACCCTTAAGTAAAGGGGTACGACCCTTTCCTTAAATAATATTCGTTATTATTATTTTACGAAAATTTTTAACTACAGTACGGAAAGAGATTTTAAAATTAAGGTTTCTTTCGATTTTCTTATTATATTAAAGCTAGTAATTATTTACCTAAGCGGTATAAAGATTCAACCTTATAATTATATAGACTTCTAAGAATTACAAATTTAGTTTATCTATTCTAATAATCCTTCTAATAATATAAAGGGCTATAGCCGCCTCCTAATAAAAGGTCTAACTATACTAATTACGGTTGGTTCTACTAGGAGGCTTAAAAATATTAATAAATTTAGGCCGGGCGAACTTTTTTACTTTATAGTTGTTAAAAGCGGTAAATTTACTAAAATGATGATACTATTCGTATAAATTAATACGTTTGATAAAGTTAGTTTTACGGTAATTATTTTTAACAGTTTTAAATATTTAGCGATTTAATATCATTTTTTTAGTACTTAAGTTAGAGAAGGTTTTAATTTCTATATACTAGTCCGACTTCTTAATTATATAATTATAGTAATTGCGGTTATAATAGAAGTTATAAAGTTTAATAGTAATAAATAAAATAGATTCCCTATCCTTCTTAACTTTCTTAATCTCTCCAACTAGGACCTTTCCCTAATAATTAGCGATATTGGGCTCTATAGGCTTAATTAGCCAGAGTATACAATTATTAGAATTAATATACTTCTAAAGATTAAGGTCTTAGGCTATAGAAATAAAAGTATTTTCCTAGGCTAGCCAATCCTTAGGGCTATTAAAAATAACGCTATTAATTTTAGTCGTAAATATCATTAGTAATCGTTTAGTCGGTTATCGTTATTGGCGATAGCTTTAATAATTGAATTAATAAGATTCCTAATTGTAATATTATAGGTAATAATCGATATAGGGTTCAACGTAGTTTAATTATATATATTTATATTAGACTAGCTCTACAAACTCGAAACTCTAGCATCTAGATAAATCCCGCATATCCTAGCCCAACTGGGCACGTGCACGCCCAGTGGATCCCCTAGCCTCTAACAGCAACTAGCGTAGCCCGATTAGCTCAGCTGGTTAGAGCGTCGTACTAATATCTAGTCTCTCATAACAGTCGTGCTCCGATGTCAGCCCCCATCCGCTCCGCCGCAGCATGGCCGCGTCTCTTTGTCCTGTGGGTCCAAATGGTGTGACATTAGGATTGGTGGGTGGGTGAGTGTGGTGGGGATGTCACAACCATTTGGACCCGCAGGTACAAAGAGAAACGCAAGGGCCATGCGTAGGTGGCTGAGTAAATGAGACTACTAATATCTTGTCTTATCCGAGATATCAAGTCTATGCGAAGGTCAACAGTTCAATCCTGTTATTGGGCATTTCTTTTTTCGCTTTTTTTCTTGTTGCTCTGGCTAGTGTGCATTCTCCTGCTGCTCTTCTTCTTTCTTCTTGATTCTTTTTGGTCGCTCGGGTGGTTGCAGTGTTGCTGAATGATTCTTTTTGGTGCCGGCCGTCGAACGGTTCAGTACCCGGAGGCCCGTAGCGCCCAGACCCGGACGGTGCGGGTGGGGATTTTTCGGTGTGAGCGCCGGCGGTCTCCACTTATTTTCGTTGCGAAATGCTTGGGTTGCTGGACAGTCAATGATTGTGTGAAGTATGACGGAGGTAGTTGAACGGAATTGTTAATTTAATGAGAAAGAGAACGTTAATGTTCAACGAAATGTAATGCTGATGAAGTGGGTAGAAAATAAACCTCTAAAATGTGATCGGAAAACGCGCAAATGTGTGGGGGAAGGAAGAGTCGACAAGTGGATGCTAACTGCCTAACCGCCACTAACGGCCAGGCCTGTTTGCGCTGTAAATGCGCAGCGGCATGGGCAGCACCTTGCGACCCGGACGCACCACGGCAACATCGGCATCTTTCTTGTCTTCCGTTTTTGGCCTCCTTGCTTTCCTTCCTTTTTCTTATTGCCTTCATCACTCCCTTATTATCTTCCTGGTTCTCTACGTTGTTTTCTGCTTTCCTTCTTGAACCGAGTTTATCAAAGCAAAGATCTCAGGTGCTAGGAAGCTTCGCGTTAGCGCACCAGTGATAGGCAAATTACAGGGAACGGCTTGCTGTCAAACTCACCTGTAGAGATCCCACATCCTCCTCTTCATCTTGGCCGTGAGGTGCTAGCAGTACCGTGGCCAGTTGCTTTTTCTTTTCTTGCACTTCCATGACTCTCTGCGTGATTGTGGGGATGTTGTCAGTTTGACAGCTGGATTATAAATCTTGAGTGTTGTGGGTATTATCGACTCACCTCCTCGAACGAATCCCTGACGTAAAACCGAACGGTGGTGACTTCTCGTGTCTGGCCCATTCTGTGAATTCGCGCCAGAGCTTGCTCCTCAAGAGTTGGATTCCTGAGGTTCGATAATCAGCCCGGTGTTCTTCGTATCTGTCAGATGGTAGAGTTAGCGAGAGATTTGACACGTACCAGTGTGGTTCCATGAGGAAGGCGTATGAGGCGACAGTTAGTGTAAGTCTGCTTAGTTGGAAGGTTAGCAATCAGAGAAGCTTCTCAAGAGAGCGCATTTGGTATTGTTATCTTACCCGACGGCTCCGCAAGAAAGTGTCAGCAGCAGGACTCTGCAGGATGGATCACGTCGGAACCGGTTGATGACATTTTGTCGCTCTTTCTGGGGAACTTCGCCATCGAAGCGAAGGCATGGTATCGCTTCGGTCTTGAGTCCGGCTTCAATAACATCGAGTGTGGTCCTCCACGTTGAGAATACGACGCTAACGGTGTGGTTAGTATCATCTTTTAGGAATTAGCAGATTACTGGCGTACCTTTTGGTGTCATAGGGCAGGTTCTTGAGCTGCAAAATGAGCGACTTGACCTTTGAGGGCATCTCGAGCGGCATTAAGTTCTTCCCATCCAGTGGTGTTTTGGCTGGCTCCGATGATTCCTCCGCGGTGATGGCATTTAGGGATACCGGGGCGAATGGACATACTGGGTTATGATCGCAAATGGGCGGTTCGCCTCTTCGTTTGGAAACACATTCCGAACATACGAACTTCATACATTGTGACAAGAGAGGCTGTTGCAACTTCTGTGCCCCAGAAGCATAGCCTAAAAGACTGACACTATCGTCGACTGAGACTTCGCAGTCCTTACAACGCATCGGGTCCATTCCCAGCCGAAGGCTAAGTGCTCGTTGGGCCATTGCACTGTTCCAGGCGGTATCGACTGGTGGGTTTATGGATGATATATCCTCAGCCTCGGAGTCATGGCGTGAGGCGTAATACAATCCAAGATTGCATACCATCCGCATGGCCTCAATCTGCTGGAGAACATTGACGTACGTGGGTGAGCGTACGGCGTCAGTATTATCTGCGTACAATAGCTCATCAAGGCGCTGAATGGTTTTCGTGCGGATCTCCTGATACAGCTCTCGCTCAGTTGGAAAGAATTCCACCGGGCACTGAAGATCGCGTCTTGCCGGCAGCTGGATGGTGGTTCTAGGTCGCCTCAAAATTAAGCAACCCGCTAAGCGCTTCAGGCGCTTTAGTGCTTCCTCGGTTTGACCATTCTTCCAAAGATGCGTGATGTCAGCGTCAAAGCATCTCTTGTCACTATATGGATAGATCCTCAAGAACTTTAGCAAGGCCGCTAGGTCGGAGAGCTTGTTCTGAATGGGAGTTCCCGTGATGGCCCAGCGAGATACCCCGTCAAGGGCACAAATAGCATGTGCCGTTTGAGAATTGTGGTTTCGGATAAAATGAGCTGGGACCATAATAGTTAGCTATCTGATGGCTTGAAATAACCTTCAAGGAACAATATAGCTAACCAAACGTACCTTCATCCAAGATGATCCTTCGCCAACGCCTGGAGAAGATGCCAGAACGGGCAGGATCACCCGCATTCTTCCACTCGGCTGAAACAGTATGATATGTTGTAAGAACAAGGGTGGGTTTATGAGCGTCTTTCATTGTGGTAAGCCTGTCGTTTCCGTGATGTCGGCACCATGAAAAGGCTCCGGGTTCTACGTGCCTATAAGTATCTCTGAGTGAGCTTAAGTTACCCGATGTCGTCATGATAGGGAAAGGACTCACTCTTCTAGCTGCTCTTCCCATGTACCAAGAACTGTTGGGTGGTTGATCAGCACTGGAATCCCAATAACCCCATCATTGATAAACATACGTGGTGGTGGAACAACCACTAGTGTCTGACCGGCCGGCGGCATCTCAGTTCCCCCTCGAGGAGTAGTGTAGGCCAACCCAGGGGCAAGTGAGGCACACATCAGATCACTCGCCGTCAGAGCAATCATTGTCAGCGTTTTCCCCAAGCCCATCGGATCGGCGATTATACCGCCATAAAAATTCTCTGGTTCCTCGTCCTGACGCCAGCCAGAAATCCGATTCACGAAGCTTCTATAAAAATACTCGGTTTAGATACGGCTTTTCTGTCCTCAAATCATGGAATAAGTACTCACCCGTCTCTCGTCCGACTCTCCACATACTCCCAGACATCTGGACGTTCGCCGTTAAGTGCCCATCCCTCTTCTCTCCTTTGCATGAATGTTAAAGCTTGTCGCTGATGCCTGCAAGCAACGGGTGTCAGAAGTTTTGGTACCAGAAATTTAACAAGGCGTTGACTTTACGTTGCCAAGGCTGTTCGAATTCCTCGAGGTTGGTTTGCTTCTGGAAGATCTTGGGTAAATGTTATAGCATCCAAAAGCTCTGGAGTTGGTACAGTGCCGGTGAGCTCGACTAGTTGTGTCGTTGTTCTTCCTAGGTCAGATGTCCAAACGCATCTTTTCAGGTCTGTGGATGAGAGGCGATGGGGATTGCAGTAGCGGAAATGTCTATTACATTGCAGTGGATCCTGCAAATAGACGTTGTGCTCTTGAAAGAAGCTCCCAATCTCCTCAAACAACTCAAGAGGACCAAACATGGTGATGGACAGTGTGCAGTCGAGTGCTTTCCTGGATTCCTTAAAAGCCTTGTGTTGCACATCTGAAGAGGGGGAATATAGGTCTTTAGAACAGATCACACTAAGCTCAATGCCGGATTCCTCGAGCAAAGCATCCGTCAACACTGTCCAGTCGCGGGTGTTGTTCTTGGTAGTGCCTGTAACAATTGTCCCGGAAAAATCCTGGTTACCGGCCTTTCCAGAAAATCGGAACGATGAGTCGAGACTGACTCGAAGGTAGGAGGATGGCGTAACATTGCTCCAAGGTGAATTACGGTCAAATCTTGCGGGTATGCCGGAAACCTTTTAAGGTGTTGTCAGTATCGGAGTCAACGGTGGATTGGTTCGTGGAGAGACCTACTTCGCCAAAACAAACTACCTCTTGTGGGCCATGGACCGGCCTGACCGGGTCATGGTGCCAAGCCTCGGAGCTTTGAGGACATTCGCTAGTAGAACTTTCACACAAGACCTCCGACCAAAATGACGGCGTCGATAACGGTCGTGAGGTTGGTAAAGCCCCTGAGGCTGGAAGGCAAGTTGTTGCAAATGTGGCGGTTGCCGTGGACTGCGAATATACCTCTAGCGATGATTCTTCCAAAGAGAAGGAAGATAGAGCAGTCGACGGACTGGAAAACGAGTTTTCGTTCGGTGCAGGAACTGCCACAGGGGCAACTGGCCTTGGGTAGTGTGGCCAACCCCCGCTGTAGTGATAAGCATATCCAATGCTGGCACTCTCCCCAGATTCACTGCTTTCCAGTCGCCTACGCTTCGGGTTGCTTCGGCTTGACGGTAGCATTGTCAGGTAGAACGTCGACGGAAGGAGTCGCTGGAGTGTAGCAATGCAAGATTGACGACAATTTATGCTGAACAAGACAGAACCCTAAACAACACGTCAGCGAAAGGAAAAGTCATGGACAAATCGGACATTCTGACTAACACTGCGCACCTAGTCCTGTTGAAGTGCCTGCGGATAGATAGGATCTAGGTACTGATGGAAGCCCATATACACCTTAATATTTAAGACAATGCGGATGACTGTGTGGCCCTGAGCCCATCTCTAGGTACCGATTTGTTCCGTCCTGATTGGCAAAAAGTGTCAACACATTGTAACACTGTCTCTCGCACAGCAGCTGAGGATGCGAGTTGCGACTCAGGTGGCCAAGCCAGTACTTTCAAGTTCCAGGCGGCCCAATGACAACAAGGAGACAGGTAATCATTGATGGCGCAAGAAGAAGGCGGTGTGACTGAGGTCGCGTATAATGTAGGAAGTGTCTCATCATCTGGGGGAACGAAAGTTGTCGTGGATTAAGGCGAGAATACGCTACACCATTATCTCCCGTCCGGGTCGTTCTGTGTGACAGCCGGGCTCTAGACCCATTGGTTATTGTTATTGTGGGGCTCGTGCCCAACCAGACCTAGAGCCCCCCGTCCCCCGCCCGCTCTTGAAGCACAGCTAGCAGGTGCACCTGCCTCGCTGAGTTTCCCACTCATCGTCTCATTTCTACACTCTCCTCTCTTTGGCCCAACAATTATCACTTCCATCTTCCGCCCAAGTGTCTTCTGGTAGCTATAAAATCCTCCTCATTAGTGCTGTCGTGACAAGCCAATGGTTGACGGAGCTGGCCCATCAGGTCTCCTCCGGGGCTTAGTGCCCACACATAGGCAGCCTGCTCGGGCAGCAAGTGGCGCCCCTGCTGCCCGCCATGCACACAGCCCCGATGGGCCACTACATAATGCATAGAGGCACACATCAGAGCTCCCGTCTTCAGGCCAGTTATATGTCGACGCCTTGAAGTCAGCCCAACTGGCGCCGTCAAGGCGTTTTGATGAGGCTCAACAACTTCTTGCCCAAATCATGCTCCGCGAGCTTGCGGAGTTGGTATGACTCACTGTCTCAACCTTGTGGATGCTGCGTCCTCCTCAGGTCTCGGCTGAGAAACATTCTTGTAAGATATCCTCTCGTTCACTTGTGTATTCTACTTCGTCCTCCTCCCAAATCCTCCAACTGGTCAGCAATAACAGGCACTAGAACCACAAAAATCATGCCACTGGCGGCGCGAAGCTCTCTTGAAGCCAGACGTATTATTCACGAAGCATTTAAAGGCCTCGAAAAGATCATATCCCCGAGCGAAGCGAAGGACTTCAACGACACTACACTACAGAACGTTCAAGATGCCGCACTCGAAATTGAAAGTATCCTTGCTGCGAGACAGTCTCTGAGGAATATGCGACGTCTGTCGCCTCTGTTTGAGGGAATTAAATGCTACGCTGAAACCATAGAGGTCCTATGCAATGGAACTCCCTACCTACCATGGATTTGGGCTCCCATTAAGCTTATTCTCAAGGCGAGCATTGTGACGATCACTATACCGAAGCTTCGCGTGATACTAACTGGTGCTAGGTTTCCTCGGATTATACGGATGCGTTCGAGAAAATCATCAAAGCCTACTCAGGAATTGCCGAGTCACTGCCCAGGTTTCAGATTATATCGTATGCACTTAGAAACGACAAAGAGATGCAGCAAGTTCTGGCAGTCTTCTACGCCGACATTCTGACATTCCACAAGGAAGCGTACATCTTTGTTCGACGAAGCGGTGAGACAACAACAGCAATTAGATCCTTTGCATTCGGCGCAAGTTCTAATAGCTCAATAGGTTGGCGAACATTGTTCCTCACATCCTGGGGCCGATTCCAACGCCGATTTGATTCCACCCTCGAAGACTTGCGGAAACATGGAAGACTCATCGACGATACTGCAAGCGCGATAAACCTCAGCGAGACTGTCAAGATGAGTCAGAATCTACGGGCATGGCGTCAGGAAAACCTTGACAAGCTAAAGTCCTTAGAGGACGAGGAAACTGCCAAACAGTATCAATCAATAATCGGATGTCTGAAGATCGATGAGACCGAGCAACTCGCTATTTTCGATGCTATCTCCTCCGAAGGAAACAAGTACGAGGGAACATGTGACTGGGTCTCAAGACACATCCATATACGTGAATGGCTAAAAGAGACGCCCGCAACAGATTTCGTCTGGGTGCAGGGAAATCCTGGAACCGGAAAAAGTGTTATAGCAACACAACTCGTCAAGTTCCTCCAGAGCAGTGGGAGGGCCATGGTTACTCGGCATTTTTGCACCTACACCCACTTGTCTTCCATCCAATATGAGACCATACTCCGGTCATTGCTGGTTCAGCTCATGCGAACCAGTTCCGATCTTATCGCTCACGCATATGCCGAGTTTGTTATTGGCAAAAAGTTACCTACTAGCCAATCCTTGGAGCAGTTATTATTGGCATTCGGTGGTGCTATCTCCCCCATACCCTCAGAATCCAGATTAATTTATTTGGTCATTGATGGCTTGGACGAGTGCGATCCGGATCAACAGGGACGAATTGCAAATTTGCTCGAGAAGCTTCGCGGTCTTCGATCTTCAGCCTCATCTGTGTTCAAGATCCTACTGTGCAGCAGACGCACACTGTATCTGGAGAAGCGATTACGAAAACGGACCGTTCAAGTTGTGTCCATGACGAACGAGAAGGGGAGCATTGAGCCTGCAATACGGACATATGCTAAGCAAAGGCTCAGGGCGATCCGTTATCGTCTCTTTCAGATGGGTCTAACAGATTTGGATTTACGAGATATCAGTATCAATATTGCTCGAAAGGCAGATGGTATGTAAAATCTCTCCAGGAATACAGGATTCTGACATCCAACGCCCTTGAGTTAAGACGGAGCCTCTCCTCAGTCGATGTGTACAAATGAACCATACAAAGTCATACTGATATAGACTGATAATCAGGTATGTTCCTGTGGGCACGTCTGGTCCTTGATTACCTGTCAACGAATATATTGAGCTCTCGGGATGAAGTGCGAGGAGCAGTGGATATGTTACCGGTCGAGCTGGGTGAATTGCATGTTGATACCCGTCTACACAAGATAACCACACCATATGCTGACTTTCACTTCAATATAGCTACGCTCGCATTCTTGCTCAGCTTACTTCACGCTTCGACCAAAGGTCGGTTGAAAGGTTAAGATCCATCCTTGGATGGATAGCATTCGCCAAACGACCATTGACCAAAGCTGAGATGAGATCTGCCTTGGCTTTTAGCTGGGGGGATCACATGGTTGAAGAAGCCGTACCCCGGCACATATTCGATTTTGGGGCACCGTTGCTAGAGGAGCACCCTGATACCACCTATTCATTCGTGCACATTTCAGTTAAGGAGTATGTGTTTATCATTCCATCGAGACAGTATAAAGACAGGCTATTAGCAGATGTACTAACAGGTTGAGATAGGTATCTTCAAACCCCCGGATGCATTCTGTTCCTGGACCAATCGGCCGCAATCCATGAGCAGGCGACTGCCACCATTACATGCCTCGTGTCTGGCTTCTGGATATTTTCAGAACAGTTGGCAGATGATACCCGTATTCTTCGCATAGTGAAGGGACTCCACGGCCTGCACATCTATGCCAACCAGTTCTGGCTGGAGTGTCTCCTGGATGCTGTATCCACAGGCTCCGGGCTTGTTCACGGCTCAATTCTACACCGGGCCGCACAGGAGCTTGCAAATTCCTTACGCCATCAGCCTAGTACGCTAACATACTCAACCTCTGGTGTTCCTGAAAGCACGGCTAGCAGGGATAGCCGTCTTCAATGTCTCAAAGAACACAGCGCCATATATGAAATGGCACGAAAAGAACTTGGTGAACGAGTCACCCGTGCTAGATTGCTGATGACCGAAGACGGAGGTTCGTGTAATCGTGTCACTCAAATACCATCGAATAGTCATCGTTCCACACATACTAACAAAGAGCAGGGACACCCAAAGCTTCACTAATTAGCTCACCAAATAATTTCCAAAGCTTGCTCCTCGCCATGCAGTCCAGTATCAGAGATATCTTGACTCTCTCCGCCATCTCTGGGGTTTCTCCAGAAGATCTCGATCGCTTCAAAAAGGAGTTCCGCACATCGGCCTTCACATGTCGCTTTCCAAATTGCCCACGGGCCGCACTCGGGTTCCCAGATGAGAAGTCACAGTGTGAACATGAAACTAGGCACACCCAGCTCATTAACTGTGTCATCATCGACTGTCAATATCCACCATTTGTTTCGACCCGTGCTCTAAGAGACCATGTGTTGAGATGCCACCAGCCTCAAAGAACAATTCGCAAGAGAATCAGGCGCGAATCAGGAGGAAACCTTTCTCCAGGAGTGATGATCCAAGAGCGCACTGCTTTGGATTCGATGGAAGACTTGTCTTCCAATCCCCCCAATTTTATCAGCCATACACACTTTCCACTCCCTCAGGCTCTACCTCATCGTCCGTCGGCTGAAGTGCCACCTGCGCTACATCAAAGAGACATAAAACCACAGGAAAAGGTGTACGGAGATAATCCAGTACGCCAGCTGGACAATGATCCGAAAATCGGCTCATCAAATCAGCATCCAGCTAAAGTTACCACAATGCCGCATCAATCTCAACCGTTGCCCGTTGGTGTCCCTAACCCAACAATGATGCATGCTCGGTTAGGTCAACTTGCCATGCAGATTACACAAACTCTTCCTACCGCGTTGATGGAGTACCATGAGGTTCAACGCCTCACCGACCGGGACAGGCCGCACATCAAGAACTTCGCTTTGAAGAGATTCGTCGCCATTCCCGAGCCCCTAAGAGACCCACTACGGGAAAAGGTGTTATCGCAACTGGCTCCCCAGCACGCCCAACAGATTCGAGCAATGGGATTGGACCCGTTGATGATCTTCTTCGAACATCAAAGTTTGATGCAAGTGCGTCGGAGTTTGGCGGCGCAGTCACGTCAAGGCATGGCACCGCATCCTCAACAAGTTCCTCAACCGCACAACCAAGTTAATCCTGCTTTGATGAATCCGCCGGGCCAATCTCATGGTGTTACCGATGGGCAGCTCCTCCCGCCTAACCTTGAGGCAATCCGAAACGAGCAGCAAATGGGCCTGCGTGCCCAGGAAGCCGGCCAGGTTGTCGTGCCAGCAAGTTCAGGTCCCGGGGCCCCCGGACGCAATGCCACCCCTGGCCCCATGATCAACCACATACACACGGCGGCTGCTCAGCAAGGACCAAACCAAACGCCGCGGCCACCGCCTTCGGCGCCGCCCGGATTCCACCACCAACAGGTCCGGATGGAAACGTTGAACCCCACACAGGTACAGGCACAGGCACAGGTACCGATAAGGGGACAAGGACCGAACCGGCACGCGCAAGGGCAGCCTGGAGGGCTTGGAGGACTTCCTACAGCTTCGCAGAGTCCCGCAATCAATAATATGGCGGCACCGATGCAACAGTCCCCCGCTCCCATGGCCCAGGGGATGAGGACAACGCTGAACCCGTCGTTCAACCACCACGCGAACGCGAGGCCGCCATCAATGCAGGGTAACATCAGCGCCAGCAATCCTGCGATGGCCGCGATGCTGGGTAATCTGAATCCGAACAGTGGTAGTGTGCCGGGAGGCTTGCCTGAAAGCCAGATCAAGGATATGATGGCCAAGTGGGAACAGCAGAGGAACACCACGGGCAACGCTCAACAGTTACCCAAGCATCCTCAAGTGTCCGGCATGCCAGCTCAACACCAGCTGATGGGCGCTGTCAACACCCCCAACCAACCGGTGAACATTGGGAACGCTCAGCAGCCCGGTGGTATGATGCCGCCTGGTATGCAGGCAGGCCCTGGTCAACCACAGCTGAACGGTCCGCAGAATGCACAAACTGCGACGATGGCAGCCCTTACCACCAACCCTTGGGCGATACAAATGGTCGACAATTTGGATATTCCCGCAGATGCGCTAAATGCATTGCGTGGGATCGTACAGCCCGTGATCCTGCCTCCAAATATGAAGAAATGGGTTCATCTAAAGGCCTGGCACCAGACAGCAGGCCTACCTCCTCATGTTCAGGACAAGGTCGCCCAGGTGTTGACTACTTTCCAGCAGCAACAGATCCGGCAGCTATAACTTCAAAGGCAGCAGCGAGCACAGACTGCCTCCATAAGTATGGCGAGCAGATAACGGTTTGGAGGTTGACGGTGTCGCAGAGTCGAAGTCTGATGGACGAGGTTGACGACGGGGAAGAGTGACGTTCAGAAATAATGTGGGTCCTGCGCTTTTCAGGGCCTAGGCCTTGTGTGGGGCACTAGAAAGACCCCTGTTCCCGTCCAGCCGTCTTGATCTGTCTCGGATCGTTCCCCTTGGCGCCGGCTTCTTATGCGGGATAATTGTGTGTTGAAACTGATACGACACTCGAAACTGGAAGAGAAGATCATTTCCGAACCTATCAAGCTGATTACTTTGAGCAGTGGTCGAGAACACAGAAAAGGGAACAACCGGCGCGAGCTGCAACACCATCCCGCTCCAGATCGACAGCCTCCGTAATTCTGGGAACCAATCAGCACCCGCGTGTACCTGAAAGTTCAGCACGGACAACCTCTTCTCCGGTTCCATGATCCTCCACATCCCAGACAATGGCCAGACAGGGGAAACTACCCCGCGAAGATCGGAGAGGTCCAACTCGACAACACCTTCGTGTTCAAGTGCGTTGCATTAAAGATCAACATGGGCGAGACAACACCGGTACCGCCGGCCTCTAGTGTAGCAGGGGCCGCGCCTGAGATCCATAGAGCTCTAGATCTCGGATCTCCTCCATCCTCCATGCTCTCAGCCTTGTGATCCCTGCTGTTTTCGAGTTTGCGGTCTCCCTTGTTTCTTGTGTTCGATACGTTGCTGTCAAGATCCAAGATGATTTCTGGTATAAGAGACTGGTTTCCCCTTTCTCCTGGTGATTTTCTTGGTCCTTGACATAGCAACAGCAAAATCTCCAGCAGGATCTGGTCTCTTTCTTTCGTTCCCACTGTTCCAGCGTTTGGAACTTCTTTGAGCCACAAGTGTTTTCAATCCTGCTGGTCAGCATTGCTTTCTATAACCCACACCAGTGGCTTTTTCTTCGAACCACCAGACACAATGGTTCAGTTCACTGCCATTCTCGGCACGCTTGCTGGTAAGTGCTCCCACGAAATTCCGTTCTTGGATGAGCTTCGAGCTGACAGAACACCGCTACAGTGACCATCGCATCCGTACAAGCCCTTCCCGGCGGCTGGATTCTCCAAGCACGAGGAAATATCCCCGACCCGGCAGGTGCAAAGAACGTCGGAAACGGCCAAGGTCTTCAGTTCATCGGGGGACAGTGCCTCAGCGAAGCCGACTGCGGATCACAATGCTGTGCAACCCTTCCCCGCGGTAGTGACACCATCGGCGTCTGTTCTGGCTTGGGCGCTCAGTTCCAAGCTGGCAAGCAGGGCTGTGGCTTTGGAACTACTGCTGCGGGCAACGGCACCGGTACCGTAGGCAACGTCAACGCTGTCGATAACCAACCCGGGAATGGCACCGCGACTCACGGTCATAATGGGAAAGGTCACGGCCACAAGAATAAGGGCTGTAATGCTGGAAATGCGGGCAACAGCACCAGCCCCGTAGGCAACATCAACGCTGTCAATAACCAAGCCGGGAATGGCACCGCGACTCATGGGAACAAGGGGAAGGGTCACGGCCACAAGAATAAGGGCTGTGATGCTGGAAATGCTGGCAACAACGGCACCGCCAACGCCAACCCCAACGCCAATGCCAACGCCGGTAATGGGGCTAACGCCGGCAAGACTGGCAAGAAAGGCAAGACTGGCAACGCTGGCAATGCTGGTAACGCTGCTGGTAACGCTGCTGGTAACGCTGCTGGCAACGCTGGAAATGCCGCTGGCACCGCTGGCGACGCTGGCGACGCTGGCAAGGGCAAGGGCAACAGCAACTCTGGAAATAAGGGTAACGACAACGGCAACGCCAATGGCAGCGGCAACGCCAATGGCAACGCGGGCAACGCTAGCAGTGGCGGAAGCACGGGAAGTACTGGCAACGCCAACGGAAGTACAGGCAATACCGGCAATACCGGAGGCGCAACTGACGCTTCCGCTGGTGATACCCAGGATGCTTAGTCTGATCAGGCAGGCGTTTGCAACGTTGGGAACAGCGCCGGGTAAGGTAGTCATTCATAATTGCTTGGTACCTGAGCAACATTGACGATGCTTCCGGGTGCTGTGCAGCGGTCAAACAATGGGCGAGATTCCATGTTGGGCATTTTCCCAGCTCCGGTTGTTAGTTAGTTGCTTAGAGGAACCAGAGCTGCGGAATGGTTGTTTCGCTGCTCACAGTAGTCTAGTGCCCAGGGATTGGGGATCGGGGCTAGCTAGGAAGACGATCACTGCAAAAAGAAGAATCCAAGTTTCTCGAGCAAGCGGTTTTGTTCCGTCCTATCTCTCTTTGGTTTGATGACGAAACCATCTTAGATCCTAACATATTGTCGGACCAAACTAGGTAGATCTGGAAATTCGCGTTATGACATCCAAATTCCTCCATTCATCGTGTGCCCCCTTCCCCGTCTCCTGAGCCCCGGTGTTGTTCGCCTCCGCCGCTCCCGAACTAGCAGACGTGGACGTAGCATTTCCATTATCCACCTTGTTTATCTTGCTAGCTACAGTAGCAGTATCACCCAACCAGTAGGAGAAACATAAGCAGTAGTCGTCCTCAATCCTCCTCCCACGTTAGATGATACAACACCATCAGCAGCAGCAGGGGTAACGGTGACGGTGGCGACGAAGGTGTTACCGTGAGGGCGTCTATGCGGGAATTACCGTTTGTTGCCGTTGTTGCCGTTGTTGCCGTTGGAGTTATTGTTGGATGTGGGGTGGTGTCATCGGAGTTAGAGTTAGAGTTCGAGTTCGTCGGGTTCGAATTCGTCGAGCCGCCGGATCCAGAGCCTTGGGTGTTGGAGCCAGAGGGATTCGAGGAGTCGTTCTCCACGGAGGGACCAGAGCCGGTGTTGGAATTGACTCCGGGAGCAGGGGCGATCATGGTCGCAGGTGAGGCGCCAGGTTGCCGGAGCGGGCTCGGGCTCGGGCAGGGGTAGTTGGGGGATTTTTACTTTGCTGGTTTGGGTTTGGGGGGAGGGAGAGGTTAGTCGAGTTGATGTGGATGATGGTCATGGCGAGTATGGTGAGGATGGGATGGAGGATGGAGATGGATGATTGAGAGTGGGGGACAAGTGATGGAAGATGGGAAGATGGGAAGATGGGAAGGAAGGGAAGATGGGAAGGAAGGGAAGATGGGAAGGAAGGGAAGATGGGAAGGAAGGGAAGATGGGAAGGAAGGGAAGATGGGAAGGAAGGGAAGATGGGAAGGAAGGGAAGATGGGAAGGAAGGGAAGATGGGAAGGAAGGGAAGATGGGAAGGAAGGGAAGATGGGAAGGAAGGGAAGATGGGAAGGAAGGGAAGATGGGAAGGAAGGGAAGATGGGAAGGAAGGGAAGATGGGAAGGAAGGGGTTAGGAAAAGAAGATGAACTACCTACGATCCGTGCAATAAATCACAGCGAGGCCCAAAGTGTTCTCGGCGTCCTGAGTATAGCAGGCCCTGAAAGCACAGTCACCGATGCCGTTAAAGAAGTTGACGTCGTTACAGAGACACTCAAGGTTGGGTCGGCCGTTGGGATACGGGGGGCAGTTCATGGTGTATGCCTGGTTAAACATGTTCCTGATGCATGTTTGCTATGGTTTTGTGTCCGGTTAGCGAAGTCAAAGAAAAAGGCGAAGTTTTGTGGTGATGGAAAGGGGTGGTGGTAACAATCGTGGTGACGACGACGACAAACGACGATGATTTGGAAACAATGGAGAGCTACTTACACCGCAGGGAGCGAGGTCTGCGTATTCAAGGGCCAGCGCGGAGCCCGCAAGGCCCCCGACGATGATGCTGATGATATTCATCGCTTCTTCGTTTTGGCGGTACCAATGACGATGACACTTTGATGGAAGATGTTGAATAATGGTGTGCCACAACGAGAAAAGGAAGAGCGGGCTGTGTGGGAAGCACGGCGAAATAAATTTGTTCTTTTCTCTGCAGGTAGGGCAATCCAAGGCCGGGCCATAAACTGGTCATAAATATCGCACTTGGGAGTGATAAGAAGCTTCTGATTCCATGCAAAGAACATTCCGTCGAGTGACACCTTGTTGTGCAGCTGGATAAGGGTTATTGGGATCAAGTCCGTGGTCTCCGGCATCGCCTCTGAAAGACCGCAGCGGGCACAATGAAATAACTTTCATTCAGCAAGTCCAATACCTCTTCCAAAATTACGCCAGATCCAAGTCCCATCCAAGCCCCATCGATTCCAAACACCACGCCCGCGCAAGATCCAAAGCACATGCCTCCCTAAATCCAGTAAGCGCCCAAGTGACCACCCACCAAAGCCGCAAACATCCAAATCATCAATCCCCACGACACCCTCACCGTCCCCGACGCCTTCCCATCCGCCGCAATCCTCTGAATCAACTGATCCCCCAACCCCTCAATACTCCTCTCGAACTCCTCGTAGCTTCCCGCGTCCCACTTCGCCCCCTTCGCTCCCGGCACCGCCTCCGTCCCCGTAAACGCCAAATACAGCACATCCTCCTCATCAATCCCATTACTCCCTGACATCCTCTTCCCTCCACAAGCCGTTGCCAGCGCGAGACTCGCTTCCCCAACCATCGCCTTCTCCCCATCATCCCCATTCGTATCGCCCCACACCCCATAAACCAACTTGCTGCCGCCATCGCCGCACACCACAGCCATCACGCTCAACGGCTCAACCCCGTGCGCCCCCGGATCGAAAACATTCCACTCCTTCGTTTCCATGTTATCAGCTTCATTCCCAAATACCACGTACGGATGAACATAGGTATTCAGATCCTCCACGCCGCCCGAAACGTTATACGACGCCACGGTCTCTTGGAAAGCCGTAGTCCCCTGGTAATCCGGGCTTGCACCGATGGAACATCTTCCGTCATCTCCCGCGCCGCCCTGAACGCCGTCGCAGTCCACGTCCATGTTGGCTAGCCGCCCTTTGCCGCGGCCGCGGATGTAGAGGATCTGGAAGTCGGATAGGTGGTCGGCGCAGTAGGAGAAGGTGTTGGGGCCGTCTTCGGTGCTGTAGAAGCCCGAGGCTAAAGGGTGCTTGCATGATTTCTGTTTGAGTAGTTTGGTGTAGAGGTTTTGTAGGTTGAGGGGGACGTCGCGGGCGGAGGATAAGGATAAGGAGGCGAGAGCGAGGGCTAGGAAGATTGCAGGTAACATGGTAGTATCAGGCAATTAATGGTAATGAGTAAACGGAGATGATTGATGATGTATAGGGACGGAACTGTCGTCAATGCGCAGTCTAAGTTATGGGAATCCGGGGCGGTGGGTCAACTTATGGAGGCCGAACCGAACCGTCGAGGTTCTCACGAATCCGGGGATGATCCAAGGGTTCACATGCAATGTCGATCGTACACAGAAAGGGGTGGCACTTGTCCCTTGGCTTGGCAATTGGAGCCGGTGAGATCTCAGAGCCCAGAACTTCTGAGATTTGGACGTTCAAACGATGATGATAGAACAGAGGTGAAGTGACAAGGAGAAATGTGTTGGCAGGATTGTGAGGAGTCGCGTTGCGCCACAATTACTGAGCCGAGTGAGCTACCATTGTCAATTATATCAACCTGCATCGGGCTGGCTAAGCCGTAATGCAACTCGTTGCTGACGATGGTTGTTGGGGCAAGCTGAACGTTGGGTGCGACCCGACGGCGATGAGGTTTGGATTGGTGTTGTTTGTGTCCAGAAACTGCATTATCAGGAGTACGACCCTCACTAACAGATAGAGGGGCGCTTATCGACCTAGTTCAGCTAGTGGCTCTGTCTAGCACGATACCGAATCAAAACTTCTTTGGCCCCACTCCGCTTTCTCGTCTCGTCTCCTCGTCCCGCGCCCCAACTCCACGCGCCGACAATCTTTCAACGAGGGAAGAAAATGAGGATGAAAAGCGTTTGAGCAGTCAAATTATGTTCTTCGATCACGGAAGATGATATAATTATCTAACATACGACCATCACCTTCATGGGGCACGATGAGTTCATTACCATTAAATACCTTTCGGAAATAAATGCATTCCAAAATCCGATGATTTCAGACAGCTTCTCCGAGATTTCCACATCGTCAACACAGACGAAAGCAACCACTCAATGTGCAACTAAATCCCTACTAAACATATCTGGAGTGAAGCTGTCTTCCGCCGCCGACGAAGCCAACCCAAACCATGTCACAATCTCCGTAACAATAGCCGTCACAGTGACAGTCGGCAACCTCTCGGCCTCCTCATCACTCGCCTCCGGCGGGGCATCAAGCAAAGATCCCAACGAGGTGAAAGGAGTAATGGCAGCCTCGACCAAGTCCTCTGCCACCGATATCGATGTGGATGCCAGATCAGGAATATCCGGAATCTCAGAGAACGAAGTCTCAGTCACGTTCGAGAAGCTCGTCTCTGTCGGCATCACCTGCCTCGGCGGTTCCTTTGTGATCCTCTTGGTATGCGACTCGAACACCTCGGTGATTGTTGGGAGCGGAGGGGAGTGGTAGTTCCCGATTGTGTGCAAGCTTGGCAATCCTGGGTCTGACAGGATCAGATCGTACTCGTCGAGTGCATGAAGGATCTCGCAAAGTTCACCACCACCGACATCAGCAGCGTGCAGCACGGCGTTGTGGGCATTGTTGAGCCAGTTTAGGCCGTGTTGAAGCGGCTCGCTAATACCAGGAAACAGATCCGCAAGGTTGTTTCCAACACGGTTGATGAGACGGGGGACGAAGTTGAAGAGAGCATTTCCGGTCTGGTCGAGGCCGGTTCCCGAGGGAGAAGGCGAGTCGGGCTTGAACCAGGAGTGGAACTTCTCTTCGCAGCTTTTCTCGCTACTGTTGGCGCCGGGATATTGGCAGGTCCAAGAGTGTATGTCCCATTCTGTGATGTTCTGGATGTCGACGAACGTGCAGGGCGAGTCACCGAAGGCTACTTGGGGGTCGTGGAGGAAGAGGTCGATGGCAGCTGCTACCTGGACTGCGACTGTGAAGTTGGTCTCGGGAAGGTCTCTTCTTCTGACTCTTCTGCCTCTGTGGTCAGCTTCGGCTGGCGGTGGTGCGTCTGGCAATCCTGCGAGTTGGGTCAAGAAATCGGAAATGGTGACGGAAGTTGTCGTGTTACAACCTGCTCCATAGTAGTGCATGCCAGTTTCGTCGAAGATGATGGACTCCCCATTGGAGAGATACGCAGCAAGACGGCCGGCCGCTAAGGCCTCTGGTGACAAATCAAGGAGACAACGGAAGCCGTCTACCAGCGTACCAACGTAATATGGGGATGTAGCGTTGTTACTCGTGTAGAAGTAGATCGAGTCTACATCGGTGGCATTCGGTTCGAAGGCGATCAGTTCAAGGGAAGCCGATGGTGTAGGCAAAACGCAACATGAAGTTGGCGAACTAGCCGGCTGTATCGTCACTCCTGTCAAGACGGCGTCGGGAAGTACGATACTTGTCGTGAGTGGGCATGGCGCTTCTTCGTAGACCTGTGTTCGCGGCCTAGTAAGTAACGTACTTTTGATCCGGTGCGCCTTTGGGATCTTACCGTAGTTGTCTCTAGAACACCACAAGCAGTAAACAATGATTCCGTTATCCAGCTCGTGGCCAGACAGCATGTGCCATTGTCACTTTGAGCCCAGGTAAAGATGAAGTTCAGCAGGAAAAGGGGCAGGAAAATGGTCAGGACCTGCATCGTCTCAGCAACATCCAGGATGGTGAAACAACTCAAGATGCGCAGGTTTATCGCAATTGTTTGCAGTAGGCGCAAGTATGAACCACGAAGTCTTCACGATTTTGCGAATGGAGGTGCTGTTTTGACGATTATGTCATGCTCCATCGCGGTTACCAAGTTGGTGCTACAATGCCCAGCGCATCCAGTGTACTTGCCTTGAAATTCTTCACGACCGCGTTAACTGGGAAGATTCGATCTCGATGACCTCCATTTCAGTAACCTTTGTCGTTTCATGGTGCTGAAATTGAGCGGTTATCATTTCCGGTCACAACGGAAGAACAATATGGAGCCTTGGGAATGCTGCACTGTTGTGAAATCGTCGGAGGCTTAGAGCACCGGCTTCATGAGCGGGCATAAGATATGCAACCAAGGCCCTCAAGACCGGCATCATGCCCTTGCAGAAATTAGAATTGCATCATCGGAAGAAAAATATATCCCTTCATCAGGATACGTGTATCTTCTCCCTCAAAATACGGCTCGATGAATCCAGAATGTCAGGGAGATTGGTACACATCAAATCGGGAATAGAAACCTTCTTTCCTGGTATACTTTTCCTTTAAGGAGTGTGACAGCAAGGAAGTCCAAGTGGCGTATAACCTCTTTTATGAGAAGGATGGGTTCTCCCCGGAGGGGATTTTTGGACATGCGTAGCAAGTTGATCAATCACCAGCGTGCTATCGCGATGGTAGGTTGCTGACGATGGACATAGCGACTGGGAATATGTCATCGTGGTATGGAGCAAGACAACATATGGGGAGAATGGATATTCATCGTGGAGCCCGACCCGTCTGCTACTGTCAGCGCATGGCAAAGCTGGCTTCTCACAACTGAAGGGACTTTAATATGAATGAAAAGACCGACAGGCCCAAAGTTTACGCATCGTGGGCCAAGCATGCCCATTATGCTGAACCAATGACGAACAAGACAACACTGTTACGTGGGATGACTGAGGATGCATATCGCGGAGAGGATTGGTGGTATTGCCCAAGAGAAGGTAAGAGAACATGGGAGTATGGAGTTAGTGAACGGGTAGTAAGTGCTAACCGTCCCCTTTACAGAAGACCTCATCAGAGCCGATCGCAACACAGATATCGGGAAGTTGATCGAAAGCTTCGATTGGGGAAAGGCGGTAGGGAATCCAGTGAGGGTGCATGATCGACTCTGCACGGCTGTGACCGCGGAGCAATAGGCATACGATATGTTTGGAGAACCTGTTTCGGTATGAGTGTAGACGAGAGACAATTGGACTTGGGGAACCGTTCCTTGGAGTGTTGTCAACTGAAATGTGAAGTTGACGATGTGAAGTTGATGGAGCGTTCCACTTCAATTCTTGGCATGTGCACAGGGCAGGACCAGCCCGCTGACGGCTGTATGACAGCTGCCGGAAGACCCACAGCTTCTGCCGAAGCGGTTGTGCGTGCCCGAAAATCAGATTGCTTCAAAAATTTCCAATGCATCTGCGACTGCGTTTTGTTTCTTCCAAAACAAATGTGATGGCGGCAACACCATGAGAAGCGACGGGAGCTTTCATCGCATCCATGATTGAGCCAATCTCCATGACGGAGTACTGAACTGATATATGCGGCGACGCAAATCCGCATGTGTAATTGCACTTTATCACGCGGAAAAGACGGTAGGTGATCATTTCCTTTCCTCCGGGCTGCTTTCTCAAAGCAAATCGCAACAACCATTCTCCAACTGCTCTGGCCATCTGGCTGCTCTCATGGGGCTCCTTCGGGAGACCTTCTCTTCTGTGGCACGTCTTGTGTTGCAACTCGGAAGGGGTTGGAGATGGGGGGAACAGGGCGAGGGACTTGTCCTTTTGCTCTGTTCCTTGAAATGTTGCAAGAGTAATCTTTTACCATATGAACCATCATAGTCCGCGTCGTTGGCCGTCTCTTCTCTTCTTCGGAGGGGAGGAAATGGGTGTTCACAACTTCGAGGCTCCAAGATGTCCAACATTTTGATATCCTGCCTTTGAACGTTGTTGTGAAATGCATAAATCTTGATGTTATTTATGTGAGGTGATCTGTACATCTCTTGTGCACGCTTGTGAACGGCAGTTGCGGTTTGCTAAGCTCACCGTCTCACCGTGAACTCCACCCCACTTGCCGTTCACGGTGATGGGTGTCAACTACGTCATAGCTCAAGATCAGGAAATCGTTCCTGAACACACATCGTGAAGGTGTTTGTTCACTTGAGCAGCGACGGTTATTAGACCGACATAATGGAGGAAGTATCTCTGGGAACATAAGCTTTTGTCAATGTTCAACGCACAATCTTTGATTTCACGCATCCCAAAGCGTGCTTTGGTCACCCGTTTTCCCATCCATTCAAGCTATGCTCGTGGCTGCACTGCAGTGTCACAACGCCAAGCTCATCAAGCTCGCAATATGTCTCACTCCAAGAACTCCGAAGATGAACAACACCAAAAGGAGTCCAAATTCTCCCATCTCCCCCTAAGTACCAGCGGCCCGTTAGAATGCGCTCTCAAAGGCACCGTGCTGCTCAACCACCCTTACTTCAACAAGGGTTCCGCCTTCACCAAAGAAGAGCGTCGCGACTTTGCTCTTCATGGCTTGCTACCGCAACGCATCCAGACCCTGGAACAGCAGGTCCAAAGGGCATATCAGCAGTATTGCAGTCAACCCAATGATTTGGCCAAGAATACGTTTATGACGTCGATGAAGGAGCAGAACGAGGTGTTGTTTTACAGGGTAAGATGCTTTTTTGTGTTGTAACAAGTGATATTATGGGGTTTGCGGTTCTGACTTGTGTGGTTGTTCAGCTTTTGCATGATCATCTTGAGGAGATGTTTAGTGTAGTGTACACACCGACAGAGGGAGAAGCCATTCAGAACTATTCAAGACTTTTCAGAAGACCTGAGGGTGTGTTTCTGAACATCAATGATATGGACTCCGTAAAGCGTGATTTGGCGCAATGGGGAAAGCCTGAGGATATCGACTACATCGTGGTCACCGGTAAGAAGGGATTATCTGACGAAAACAGCCCCTAAGGTTCAGAAGATGGCTAACACGATGCAGACGGCGAGGAGATCCTGGGCATCGGTGACCAAGGATGTGGCGGCATCCTCATCTCCATCGCCAAGTTGGTACTGATGACCATTTGCGGTGGCATCCACCCAAACCGTGTGCTGCCGGTGGTCTTGGACTGCGGCACCGACAATGAGGAGCTCTTGAAGGACGATCTTTACCTTGGCCTCCGGCAAAAGCGTGTTCGAGGTGAAAAGTATGACGAGTTTGTCGAGACCTTTGTTAAGGCTGCGCGTGAACTCTATCCCAGAGCGTACATCCACTTTGAAGACTTTGGCCTAGATAATGGTACGTTGGATAAGTCCGGCTCACCCGCATGGTTACTGACATAACGACTAGCACGTCGACTTCTGGAGAGATATCGACCCAAGATTCCTTGCTTTAACGATGATGTGCAAGGAACAGGGTGCGTGACTCTGGCCGCCATCATGGCAGGTTTACACATTTCGAAGCAGAAGTTGAGCGACATCCGGATGGTAGTCTTCGGTGCTGGCACGGCAGGTGTTGGTATCGCGGACCATGTTCGCGATGCTATTGCCGCAGATGCGGACATCAGCCCTGAGGAGGCTGGCAAGCAGATATGGTATGTCCATACACTCCGCACCTACAGCAGGTCTCTTCACGCAACAAAACACTGACACTACGCAGGCTCATTGACAAACCTGGACTACTCACAACCAAGTCAGACTCACTGTCGGATGTTCAGAAGAAGTATGCCAAGTCGCACGACGACTGGGCCAACAAGAAGACCGATCTCCTAGGTGTGATCAAGGAGGTCAAGCCGCACGTTCTAATCGGCACATCCACAAAACCAAAGTCATTCACGGAGGAGGTCGTTCGTGAGATGGCAAAGCACGTCGAGCGCCCCATCATCCTGCCCTTGTCGAATCCAACTAAGCTTCACGAGGCCGTGCCCGAAGACCTCCTGAACTGGACAGACGGCAAGGCTCTCGTTGCCACAGGTAGTCCGTTCGACCCGGTCAAGGGCCCCTGGGGTAAGGATGGCAAGGAGATCGAGATCGAGGTGGCAGAGTGCAACAACAGTGTTGTGTTCCCGGGTATCGGCCTCGGCTCCGTGCTGGCGCGGGCCAACCGTGTGACAGACAAGATGTTGATGGCGGCATCGAAGGGCGTGGCTGAGATGGGCCCGGCGTTGAAGGATGATACGGCGCCGCTGCTTCCTGGTGTCGATGTCGTGCGCGATGTGAGCGTGCGCGTTGCTCGAAGAGTCATCTTGGCGGCCATGGAGGAGGGTGTGGTTGAGGAGAAGGATGTGCCGACCAAGGAGGAGGACCTTGATGAATGGATCAGAGAGCAGATGTGGGATCCGGTGTACAGGCCGCTGAAGTATGTTGAGGGCGACTTGCGCGTGCTGGGCAACCCGAATGATGTCGAGTGAGGATTGACATCGTAGTGTTCGTGGTACCTCTACGGCTGTTGGGAGTGTCTTGGCGTGGTTATCGCCGGACGTCATGGCGGGCAGTTGACATTGATTGGTGCGTGACTTGGCGATTTCAGACCTGGCTGGCGCACAGTTTTGCTGTATGATACCATCATGTAGAGCTTGTTATGTCCTTTTCATGAGCTTATTGACTGCCGAATTCTTTCCGCTTGCCGTCCTGATCGTTGTAGCTGTCAATGCGACCGTTTGTGAGCTGCTGAAGTGGTTTTCCCGGCTGGCGATTGAACAGCGCAAAGGGAATTGTCAAGTTCAAACTGGTCTGGGCTGCACGAAAAAAGCGGTGCTCCACTATTTTGTGCCAAGACTTGAGGTTGTTCGTCTGGCTTGACAGGCTTGGCCACGGCACGTGACCGTCACAAAGGACGGTAGGGTTTGCGGTCCACACCAACCCAAGGCCCAAAAAAAATATCGCGGCTGTCGTTCAATTTTGGCCTTGCTGAATTTCCCCTCCGAAATTTCGACTCCCCCATCACCAGTCGCCATTTCAGCAACCAGACCGACGCAATGGCCAAGCAATCGTGAGTAACCACGTCAGCGATCAAATCCGACCTGTTTTCTGGCTGTTTTGCTGCCCGTCAAGCCGAGGTTCTGCCCGACAAACTGAGGTGGTCGCAAGAGGAGGGAATCAGAGCGACGAAATTGTGCGAAAGAGGAGGATGCTGCCCGATTGACCCGGGAGTCATTTGGACAAATTTTGGAGGTTTTGGACACCATGGACAGCAGATAGGGACCGCCAGCAAGCAGCCAGAAGACAGCGACGAAATTCGGAACCGGCAGCGAGATCAGTGAGCTAACAGCATGTCTACAGTCGTGGTGCCCCCGGTGGCAAGCTCAAGATGACCCTGGGTCTCCCAGTGTACGTTACGATTCCCATTCCCGTCCCGTCCAGCACGAAACGCGAATCACCATTTCCCAAGCGAGCTCGAGCGCGATGAACATCACGAATCGGCACACCGTACACCCACAAATCACGAAACGCACGAACAACACGACCAAGACAGGAATGAATGGCTAACATGGCGACTCTTACAGCGGTGCCATCATGAACTGCGCGGACAACTCCGGTGCCCGTAACCTTTACATCATCTCCGTCAAGGGTATCGGTGCTCGTCTCAACCGCCTCCCCGCTGGTGGTGTCGGCGACATGGTCATGGCCACCGTCAAGAAGGGCAAGCCTGAGCTCCGCAAGAAGGTCCACCCCGCCGTCATCGTCCGCCAGTCCAAGCCCTGGAAGCGCTTCGACGGTGTCTTCCTCTACTTCGAGGACAACGCCGGTGTCGTAAGTGCCCACCGATACCACTTTTCCACAACAGCCTGGGCTTTTGGGTTCTGTATTGGGAGGACCAGGGAGGACAATTGCTGGGGAGAATGGCACGGATGCAGAACCACAATGCCAGGCCGTTGGGAGCACATTTACAATCGGACAATGCTGACCACTGCTTTTTCTAGATCGTCAACCCCAAGGGTGAGATGAAGGGTTCCGCCATTACCGGCCCCGTCGGTAAGGAGGCTGCTGAGCTTTGGCCCCGTATTGCCTCCAACTCCGGTGTCGTCATGTAAATGGGGTTGTCCAGGAACAAATGGAATGGATCTTTTATGGGCTGCGCGGGTCTTTTTTTCGAGGAACGAACAATGTCATCCGGAATCTCGTCTTCCCCATAGATGAAAGGAAGATGTAGAGGATGAAGGCCTTAACCGGCCCGGCTGGATTGGCAGGCATTTGCATTTCGGTTGCGGCGTGCTCGGGAGTCATACCATATGCATGATATACAGGTCAATTCACACCCAGTTCTTCGAACCCCTTGACCGCGCGCGGCTCGGGATCATCATCACAAGGGTGCCTCTGCAAGCCGATGTCTATGTTTTCCTTTCATGCATAACAAGCAAGGGCGGGAATCCACGGTACCGGATGCAGGGCAATGACCCGCGATGGACTGTGTCGGATGGCCATGTACGTTCTTCACTCCAGATATCCTGAGAAGTCGATGGGGGCTTCTCCCCGAGCAAATAACACGAAGGTTGCCATTCCCAAGCCATTACCATTACTACTACATTGTGTCTATGTTGATGACTTGGATATATACAATCTAAATGCTACTGACCCTACTCTCATAGGACTCCATGCTCTACCTAATGATGGTGGCATTCAGCTCGAGCCACTCCAGGGTGCGGCCGCCATAGTTCACCCAGCTCGACAGCAGGCGGTTGAACATCTCCGGCTCCTGAATCTGAGGAGCGTGTCCAAGATACGGGAACGACACAAGGGTAGCGTCAGGAATCGCCGCCTGCGCCTGGCGTCCCAACACAGCATAGTTACCGAGCTTCGCCTGTACATCGGGGGGCGACCACACCTTGCCAATAGCAGTGTTATCCTTCTCGCCAATCACCAACAACGTCTTGGGCTTGATCTTCTTGTAGTCGTGAATGGTCGGCTGCCCCAGCACCATCTCAACCACATGAGCCTGATCCGCCCAGAACTTCTCCTTCTGGTCGCCCTCATACACCTTGGTCAGCATCACCACCCACTTGTCAAAGTCCTCCGTCCACTCGGCGCCCGGGTAGTACGTCGCCTGCTCGTATCCCCTCAGCGAAGCATACGTCGTCGCCTCCTCATCCCCCGTCAACAGATCAAACGAGCGATCAGGCACGCCCAGCTGCTTCCAGTCCTCCAAGCCGATCGGACTGACCAGCATCAACGACTTGGTAAACTCCGGGTACGTCAGCGCATAGCGCGACGCGAGCATGCCGCCGAGGGAGTGCCCGACGACGATAGGCGGCTTGGTGACACCCAGCGCCTTGAGCAGGTTGCGCGTGTTGGTCGCCAAGGACGTCAGGTTAAAGCTGTACTGCGTCGGCTTGGTCGACTTGCAGAAGCCCAGCTGCTCGGGCAGGATGACGCGGTACCCGGCCTTTTGCAAAGGCGTCGCGGCCGCGTACCAGGTGGGACCGCAAAAGTTCTTGCCGTGCAGGAGGAGGACGGTCTGTGGTTCTTTGCTGCCGCCGCCGCTACGAGGGTTGTAGTTGGGCGGGAGGAGGTCCATGAAGGCCATCTCGAGAACCTCCTGCTGCGAGCCCCCCTTGACGGCGGTCGAGGTCAGGTTGTAGAGCCATAGCGTCGAGGGGTAGGTGTAGTTGAAGCCGTTGACGTTTTGCGGACGCTTGGCTGGGTAGATGTCTTTGCTTCTGCTGAGGGCGAGGGTGGCGGCCGCCGAGTCATCGGCGGCAGAGGCATCAGCAGCGGGGGCAGCGAGGGCTGAGGTGTCCTCGACGATGGCCGTCGACGCGGGGGCGGCTGAGATGAGCGGCAGAGCAACGCCGGCAAAAAGAAAGGTAAGGAGTTTCATATTGATGGTTGCGGCGTCTGGGTCGTCTGTGTGTGATGGTGGGTGCAGCGGCTATGATGTGATAGCAAGCCGAGCCAGCTGAAGATCTCCTATGGCTTGGGGGACCATCACTCTACATTGGATCCGGGCTGTATATAAGGTCGCAATCGGATATTCGGCCCCGGGCCTTTCTTCACACTCACCCAAGGAGCGGTATGGCCGACCAAAGAAGGAGATGCGCGTCTTTTGGTGAAGATCGCGAGATTTGTGCTACAAGATGTTACATTGTAATTAGAAGTCTTGGGGATGGCGGGTTCCACCAACCGACCGACGGCTCGGACGGGAAAGCTAGAATCTTCATGATTCAAGCCGCGTCAGTTGCGGAAGATTACATGTTAGGGCTGGGCACGTTCGCCATGACACCCATTTACGTACGCCCGCGCACAAAATGGTAGTGATGGGTATTGGCACAGACGAAAAGGGAATGCCAATCCTCGGCTGTGGCAGAGTGGGTGGGAGGGTTCGGTCGAGATACCATAACCCGCGGTCATCGAGATGGTCAGGGGCAAGATAGGACGGCTTCGATATAACGGTGACTAAGGACTATATGGGTAGGTAACATTCCATCAACTCCCGGGGCATGAAAACGTAATTAACCCGACCATTCAAACAGCCCATTTTGACCATGTCTGCGGCAATTGTCTTCTTGGAAGCAGAAGAGCAATTTTAGAAGGAGGGAAGAAGGGGGGATTTGTACTTTTTCACCTTCCCAACATGTCGATGTCTGCAGCTGGTGTGGGTGGCTCCGGGTGCGGCGGGTGGGTATCCGGAGCCAACACGATAATCGTGGAATTGCCCGCACAGGTACATTACCAAAGATTACGTACCTGCATTTCAGCCCATTTTTCATGTGATGATGCGATTGTGAAGGTATCGACACAAAACCACACAATGACACAAGCTTTTGGGCCGCGCCGACAAGCCACCCGAAAAGGTTCCGTCCCACCCCGGCTCTGTCGGTTTAGCCTACCGGATCGGCCATCGCACCTACTTGTCGGGTAATCTAGACAGTGCGGCGACGCAGGAGGCAGGGCATTTGCTGCACCAGAGTAGCATCAAATCTCTTCTGGGAAGCACTGTGGGAATGTCCTGTCTTCTAAGCGAGTTCTTCTAAGCGACCACGACAAGACCTTTGTTTTTTTTTGTCAGGAAGACACCTCCGACGGCCAGTCACAGTCCGTCAGCCTCTCCCCCCCACGACCTTTCACTACCCTTCATGGCTGGACAATGTCTCGCAGCTTCAAAGACATGCGCATCAACTTGACTTTGCACTACACACCGCATCAACCGCGCCACATCATACCTAGTTATCTACCACATGATACCACACTACCAGCCATTGGACTTCTTAACAATGTAGGAGATATAGGAGCAAGTGAAAAAGTCTGCTTTCGACTATGGTACAGTTGCTTTCTTTTTCCATGCTGGATCAGGAATCAGGATAGGTATTTACCGTCATGGACCACTCACCCACACCTGGCTGGTCTTGACTCTTGACAGTCTTGATCGCCTTCTCGCCAGGAATAATATCATGGGTGTTCTCCATTCTGCACGCCAATCTTCCTAAGACCTCACGCCGCCTTTCTCCACGAGTCAAGCCCGGCGGGCCGCGCTGTCAAAAGATGATCAGGGTCCCGGGGAACAAGCCCGGCGACAATAGGGCGCACTCCATCGAAACTCCGGCGATCGTCCTCTTAATTGCTACTTTCTTTCTGGTTGGTGTGAGGATATGGGCCCGGTTCAAGCAAGCGTCATGGAAGGGTTTGGGATGGGATGACTACACAATTCTGCTATCATGGGTTCGTTGTTCTTAGCTCTGGACTGGAGAATAGATCGATGGGTGGGCTAGTTTGGTCTGACACCATCAACAGGTCTTTGCTACTGTGGTATCAGCACTCATGATGGCCTCATGTGCCTATGGCTTCGGTCAGCATATCCGCAACCTCTCGAAGGAGAATAAGCTCATGACTTTGAAGGTATGAAGTCCCCAGTTTGGCACCAAAAGCCCTCTCACTAACACAGTCCTGCAAACACCCAGCTGTTCTACGTAGCCCAAGCCTTCTACAAAATCACCATCAACCTAACCAAAACCTCCATCCTGCTCCTCTACCTGCGCATCTTCGTCCAGCGGTGGTTCCGCATAGCATGCTACATCCTCATGGGCATCATCATCGCCTACATGATCGCCACCTTCGGCGCCTCCGTCTGGCAATGCACGCCCGTCCCTCGCGCCTGGGACAAATCCATCCCTGGAACCTGCGTCGACATCACGGTCAACTGGTACGCCAACGCCGGCTTCAGCATCAGCACCGACATCCTCATCCTGGCGCTGCCCATGTACCCGATCTTCATGTCACACCTCCGCAAGACGCAGAAGGTGGCGGTGGTGCTCGTGTTCGCTCTTGGTTTCTTCACGACGATTACTAGTATTCTAAGGATGCAGACGTTGACTTTTTCGACTAAGACGCCTGATACGACATGTATGTCCCTTGTCCCTCCTTTTCCAGTTCCCAGCCCTCACCCTCCCCTCCCCTCCCCTCCCTCCCTCCCGGCAAACTATCTAACACCTCCACAAAGACGACCTCGACTCCTCAATCTGGACCATCATCGAGCAAAACATGGCCATCATCTGCGCCTGCCTGCCCGTCTGCCGCCTCCCGCTCTCCTACCTCTTCCCCAAATACTTCGCCAGCTCCCGGCGCGAGCAACGCACCGGTCCCGATGGGGACATTGGCCACCGGGAGATATCTTCCCAATCCGAGCTGCGAAGCTGGCAAGGTCCGCATCAGCACGACGTCGCCATCGAAGCCGGCGTTGGTCCCGGACCGCATCAGGGCGACTTTGAGATGGACAGGAAATACAACTCCACCATTTTTGCTTCTGGACGTCGCCCGTCAGCGTCGGGGTCTGTTTCTTCTGATGGTGTGGAGGGAAAGACGTCGACGGATGTGGGCGGCGTGACTGTTTATCAACGGGACAGGGTTTCTACAGAGGATGATAAGATGATGATGCAAATTGGGGATGCGAACAGCGAGGATACCATTTTCCATGTGTCGTCTGTGTCGGCGACGAGGTCGAGGTCAAATTCGAGGATGGGGATGGGGATGGGGAACAGGGACAGGGATAGAGATAGAGATAGATCATGGGAGAGGGGGATGCAGCCGGCGGGCGGCGGCGGGATTCAGATGACTACGCAGTTTAGTATTACTTATGATGATGAGCGGTAGAGGTAGAGGGCAGTGTTAGCAGGTGTAATGATGGGCCGGCGTGCGACCGGGATGGTTGGACCGGATGGATTAATGGATTTGCTTTTCATGGTTCTTTGACGCGTCTATGCTTGCGTGGATTTTCCGTGTGACGTCCTGGAAGGGATAATCAATCGATGAATAATGGAGCAAAATTAATCTGGCATTTCTATTGCTGACATGCAGCTGAGAAAGCGTGAGTGTTGGGAGGGGGGCTGACCTCTCCTCGGCTCCACTCCGGCGCCGTTCGGTGGGGCCGGGACCGGGACGTGCCGCCTGTTCGTCCCGCAATTCGATCCCGCTGTGTGGAGAACGGAGTGTAAATTGTATCCTGGTGACATAGGAAGAAATCGTGCATTCTTGGTTATATAAAATAAAACCTTCCGCTATGCTAAGTACAAATCAATGCTATTTTCCAGGACCTTGCCCATCCATGTATCCATCCAACTCCTTGTGGTTCGTGTTCTTCCGAGTATATTTCTGTTGTCGTTTCCTTTCTTGCCTCTGTGATCACCCAACTGAACGCTCAGTAGCCTTATGTCATACCCACAGATCATCCTCAACCCTTTCGTCGTACTAATGCACAACAATCACCTCGCCGAGCCATCTTCTCTCCCTTGACATTTTCGAAATGGCCAACCATTCAGCACTTGTTCACCCGCTCTTCACCACCGTCCAGACATGTTCTGAACACATCTCATCCTCATAGTCGAATACCCGTAACTCATACTCTCTGCGAAGCCGCGCCAATTCCTGCATCGGTGTATAGAGAGGTATCTCGGGCTTCGGAAGGTGAGTGCGAGGCACGCCGCAAACAGGTTCCAGACCAGTGTAAGTGAACCGGATGCCGGCCTTTTTCATTTTCCTTTTGACCCTTTCCAACCATTCCCACGGATTAAAACTCGCGTACAGGGGAATCCATTCCCAATTGAACCCTTCCGGTAGATCTGAGGCGGGCATGGGAAGAGCGAAAGGCCTGGTGCAGTAGTTGACGTGGATTTGACAGAGCGGAGCCCTCTGTTTCTTCGCGCGTCGGGCGAGAGTGATGAGGAATGCATAAAGGTCCCTGTCGAGGGGACATGCTCGGTTGCAGATTGGCCAGCGCTCTGGGTCCCGGGGAAAGCAAGGGCAGTGTCGCAGAGAGAACTCGCAGCCGACATCCAAGGTGATGCGATACAGACTCGGAGCGAGAAGTCGGTCTACTTCTTGATGTAGCTCCTCCAATGTGCTGGGAGTTATGCTGAATAATGTGCTGGGGGTTTGGCTGAATATCCTCCGTCCGCAGAAATCCCCGTGGCCGGTAAAGATTGACGCAATGTGGAGGTGCTGCAGACATTGATAGTCCCGAAAATCTGGTATGACGCTGTGGTTCAGGTCGAAATGGACCCCGGGAGGTAAGCCAAACCCAGGCGTATACGCCATTGCATAGGCAGATGGTGTCAACGCTAGCCCTATTCGCAAGCTCTTCAGCGTGGTCTGATGAGGTTCGAGCATGGTATGTAACCTGTCAAGGATAGGACCAGTAATAGGACTATCCATGTCGCTTATGTGGACGTTATTCAAGAATAATGACTGAAAACTAAACCGCAGTGTGAAAGCAAAATGCTCAAGTTTGCGTGGCCATTGGATGAGAGACTCAAGGGTTTGGAAAGATCGCCCGTAGTCGTTCAGGATGAGTGTTGTGAATTGTGCCCTGTGTTTTGGACTCTGTGGCTTGTTAGTAGGGAGTAGTGACAATGGAAGACACAAAGGCCCGAACCCGGGGGTGTGGACTTGCCTGCAGCACCTCATCTGCAAATGAGCTCCCAGGTACGGCATCAAGTCCACGTTGTCCAAATGGAGAACGCATGTGGGAGAGACACATAACATTCAGTTCTTTGAACTGGACAATAGATCCAACCAGATCATTCCAGACTGGTTGGCAGAGCCATTCGCGGACAAAAGCAAGTCTCAAGCTTTTCACCCGTGGGTGATAGGTAACAGCATGTTGAAAGAATTTCAGTTGCCATTGAACCAAATCATCGGATCTCCAATCGACACTGGACAGATCGAACAGGCCGGACGGCGAGGCCAACGTATAATCCAAAGAGCGAACATTGGTGAGCGTGGCTAGCGTATCCTCAGAGTACAATTTTGAAACCACCACCGTCTGGGACGGACTTTTGACGTCAATGGTTAGTCACTCATCTGAACAAGCGCTCTTCCCAGTAGGATTCAACTTACGTTACAGGTATTCTCGGGTCGATGCTTAGTGCTCTGCATCTCTCTGCTATCTTGGGCCGAGATCGACACGTGACTGTGATTTGCGACTGTTCAATGCCCTGTGCTGATAGGTTGGTGATGATATGAAAGTGCTCTTGTGAAAGCGAGGAGTAGATTGATCCATTTTCCCTTCTGGGTAACAGAATGTAATATTCTGGGAATGATGGGTACGTTTCCCGTGCAGGGAGAGCAGGGCTAATCAAGCTTACACAATCGTAAGCCAATGGTGACGCGATACGAAGAAAGGTTCGGCAAGTTAGCAACACTCGAAGATAATTGACATAATCCAATCGCAAGTGGAAATCCGAGTAAGTGCCAAAGTCGATGGGCACGGCGTCTTTGTTCTTCACAGAAGGGTGAGTCCAAGTGCGGCATTCCCCGAGAATAGCTTCTAGAAGTTCTTCCGGAAGATCAAAGATTGTGAGTGTCGCCATGATGATGAATAGTTGAAGTGTCTCGGGAGGATAGCTAGAGTTCGTGGGTGTCAAAGGAAAAAGAAATCAAGCTTCTGGCATGGGGACCCGTTCAGTTTTGTAGGACTGGTGGCTGGGGGAAGTCCGCCTTTGCTTCAAGCGGGCCTTCACAGTCCTTGCAGTCATCCTCGGTATTAACTTAAGGCCACCAAAAGTAGGGAAGCCCTGCTACACAATGCTTTGCATTAGCACAAGCAGGTTAGATGTGGAAATAATTCCAAAAGATGCATACCAAAACTTGGTGCTTATGCGAAGAGATGATAAGAGCATGCAGATAGATGTTGGATGTATTAAGATAAGCAAAGAAGACACCTACCCGTGCATTATGGTGAGGCCCGGCGGTTCTCGCAACACCCACTCTCTTGCAATGGGTGTTGCGAGGAAAAGGCTCACCACCACTCACGGGTATCCTCACTGGATCCCCAAAACCAACTCAACTTCATGGCGTGGCTTACCTAGGACAATAAGTTCCTTCACTCATGATAATCCGCCAGTATGATCTTTCCGGTGTAATCCTGAAAAGCCACCGAGTAACTCTTCTTGAGACGAGCAAAGGCTCCAAGCGGGGACCCGGCCATTACGCTCCCTGAACCCGCAACAACCTTTTCACTCCAGCTCCGCCCCGAACCATCCCTATTAGATCCCACAACCAGCGAGTTGTCGGAGCCTATCCACAAGACGTCCATAGAATCATCGCTTACTGCCACCACTGTCAAACCGCTATCCACTCGCCCCGGGTGATCGCTCACCCTTCTTTCCTCCCATTTCTGGTCACGCAGATGTACACTATTAGTCTGTAACCTGTATCTCCCATGTACGTTGCCCTCTCGATCCATGTAGAACACCCAAATGGTGTCCTTTATCAAGTTCGCAGCATAAATTCGAGTGTGGATGGCAGCGGTGTGGGGATTACCATAGGCGTTCATGGCAGAGGCGATCCAAGACCGTCCGTCGTCAGACTTAAATTCCCACGTTGTCAGAACCCCATCGGGGCTGACCCAGAAAACAAACATCCACCGGCCGTCTGCTGTCGATGCGGCTGTAATGTTGCTTTCCGGGTGTGCGCTTTTGCTAGGTGCAAGCTCGTATTGGTGCCATCCCGTTGGGTCTGATTCGTAGTAGTACCAGCCCTTGACAGCACCGTCAGGAGTAATGTACCACATCTCCTGGTGACCCTTCATTCGAGTAACGGCGGCAATTCCACCCTTCGTAGATGCACTGCCAGGCCCGGCAATTGTATCGCGTTTCCATCCTTGTAGTGTAGTGTAGTTATGATATGAACAATGGACAGCACCATTGGAGTGGATCCAGAAGATATCGGTCTGCTCGTCGTTACGGCGAACGGCAGCAATGGCTCCTAGAGCAGCACGGTCCTCGCTCGCCTCTATCAGAGAGTACGTACGAGCCCAGCCGTTCCCACCCTCGTAGTATGTTCGTGAGGCAACTTGTCCCTGAGGCGTAATCCAAAAGGTATCAAAAGTGCTGGGGTTAGGGATCGCGGTGGCAATGACACTGTTTGCGGTGATTGAGGCCTTGTCCTGACCAGATCTGCCTATGTCGCTTATGTGCCATTCTTTCCCGATGACTTCGACTTCTGAACCGAGAATGGGCCCAGCTTGATCAATGGTACGGATAACCCAAAAGTCATCAGTTGCCTGAAAGTCGCTAACCCAGTGATAAGGCATCCAGAAGTAAGGATGGTCACCTTTGCCCCACGAATTCTTGCAAAGAATACGCTGCTTGTCGTCATCCCAGGCAACGGCCAAGACAGCATGAGCTTCCTCGATGTTATTCGGTTGGGGTTGATGGGGCTTGCTGAGTGGCTTGATGGTCGCAAATCCCTTGTTCTCTGGGTTGTCTGGCTTTGCGGATGGGGAGGCATCGGTCTCAAAGGTGGCCCAGTAGTAGTAGAACCCAAAGATGACGGGATAGCCCTCATGGAGGCACTGTTTAAGATGAGTCAAGGTCATCAGGCCAACAGCTGTCTTCTGGGCATCGGTGAACATGCCCTCGGTTGCCTCGGTGTGATCTGGGTCCAACCGGCAATACTCCATGGGCCACCCGTGGGTGCGCTTGGCGTCAATGTAGGCAGCGTCGACGGGCCTGTCATTGCGACCGAGTACTGTTCCACCCTGGTATCTCCAAGGATCAAAGGCTTCCGAGGCAACGCCCAGGTAGCTGACAGCTCTCATGGCTTCCCGTATGTTTGTGCCCTTGTCCTCCACTCTTTGGGGCCACTGTCTCATGCGGCCTTGTTTGTCCATAGCTTGGATGGCGCGGGTGTTGTAGTATATGAAGTGGCGCGAAGGGTCCAGGGACAGTCTACCTGGGCTCTTTTTGCCATCGTACCAAAGAGCGGCAGCGGTGGCATTTGCCACACAGGAATTGGTGTCCAGTTGGTCGTAGACAGGAGAACCGGGGTAGATCTTGGTAAGGTCGACGGTTCTGAGCTTGTTGGTATCCCAACCTTTCCCGCCATAGTAGTAAGGCTTGTCGTTGGGGTTGAAATTGTCGGGCAGATATCCAGTATTGCGGGAGCTGGTGGTCATGTTGAAGAGCTTCAAAGGGTGCAGTGTTGAGAGATGATGTAGCGGTTCGCGTGTGCGGTGATGGTGATAAAATTCTGTGCAGGCTGAGTGAGCTTTGGTAAATCGAGAAGGTAAGTGGTGATTCTTATAGGGATGCGGTCACCAACCATTCTTCTCAATGAACCATCTCTCTTACCACCGAAGGCCGTCATTGTCCATGAAAGAGGAAGGCATTGTGAATGATATCTCCCAAAGCAGTCTTTCAGCTGTGTGAAGCTATTGATTATTGAAGTCCATGGCGGCTCCGCTAGTGAAATTATTGGTTTCGTGCATTCAGAGGTCAACAGAGGCACAGCTGAATAGCATCACAAGGTGTCGTTGAGCATTGGGTTGGGTGGTAACGGCGGCCATCCTGACATCTAGAAACCACTTAGTGAACGGTATAGCCGAATGTGGTTGTGGTTGTCTTGGGCTTATGGTCAAGCCGTCGCCGTGATTGGTCGATCTGTTGAGCAGCAAGCGATCTAGATTGGTTCGACGAGGAGGTGTGGCTGGCGGGATGTTGTGCAGCTGATGTTGTATGGGGCCACATTGGGTTGGTTTGGTGTGGTGATGGAGGCATTCAATGAATGGGCAAACGAAGTAACGAACTGAGTGCCCCTGTGTTGTTGATGGCGGCTGAAGGTGCAGGTGCTTGCAGGAATGGAACAGAATTGTCTCCACGGCACTACAGATCGCATCCAGCAAGTCTCCCGTTAGCTTTCGTAGAAGGAGGGGTGTTGACGCTCTTACCAATCTTAGATTCCGTTCCTCCTCAGCAGAAGTATCATGTATGAAGTGCAGGAACGACTCACATCAAGATTGAATTCGGTAGCAAGCTTGGAAGAGCAGGCAGGCTTGGACTGCAGCGTACCAATTTCAAGGCACCGGCACCGGCAAGCACCCAGATCAAAGTCCAGCGGGGTCGCAACAGAACCTTGGACCACCTGGCACATAAGGTTCCAGCCCATGCACGCCAACAACTCTCGTACCCGTCTGCCTTGTGCGTGGCCAAGCGGGATGGTGTGCGGGAGCCAGAAAACATTGCTCAGATACGTGGTACTGGTGGTACAGTTTTCGTAGGCCGCAGCTTGGCTCGGGGTTCGACCCCGACCATGGGCGGCTGAGCTTTTTGACTTTTGTTTTTTGCGAACCTCGAAGACGGAAAGAGAGAAAGAAAAGTCGGGGGCACAATAATGAGAAAGGTTCCTGCCTTGGGATATCTAGTCTGAAAACGTGAAGGAGTGACCCAAGACATTTGCAGTAATTCTTTAGGAGCAGGGACGTTGGTTGTCTGGATGAGGGCCTCAACGAACATGGCAGGAACTACCTGGTCTTGGCTTTGTCTCTTTCTTCGCCGGAAGGAATGGGCAATAAATTTCGACACTTGTTTTGGTGTTCTCATCGTTCATATTTACCTTTCACACCAGCAGGATTCGATTTACACCACAAATGCCAGTCGTCATGCAAACAAAGCTGTCAAACCAACATCTGCGCATCTGAAGAAAAGGACTGGGCACATTCTCTCCATCCTCACTCCATCCGCTGTTAAAGTCTCCGTCGATTCCCACAGCCTAGTTGTATCCAAACTCGATATACCGTACTCGGTCACACTCCTTCCCTCTCCTTCCCCCTGCCGGCCCCCGAAACCCACGCCCTATCCCTATACCGATCTCTCATCCTGTCCATGTCCTCCGTTGTCACTTTCAGATTTTTCGAATGACGCTTCAACGCGCCTCTGGCTTCTTCGGCACTCATCACCTCCAATATCTGCCAAATGTCTTCGTGTCGTACGTCACCCCTAGTGGACAACGCCCATGCGGATCTCTCATCGTAATGATCGATTCGGGCGTCCAACTTTGTGATATCTACTCCGGGGCCCATAGTGTTCAAGAGGAAGCCCTCCATGTCCGTAGCCTCAAGGTTTAGCCAGCTTAACGGGCATTCACCGATCCACCTCGTGCTTCCTCGAACATAGTCTGACGGGTGACAGCGTTTGGCGGTAAGTGAGAATCTGGATTCGGGGTTGGACGATCGGACAAAGCAGTAGCTCAACTGGAGTCTCATCGACGGAATCATTTCGCTCGACCCGTTTGGCTGGAGTCTCTCTTCGACCGCATTGTGTCTCTCCTGTACAAGAAGCAGGGTCCAATTGTCGTGGTCTATATCGCGGAGCTTAGAATAGTAACGCGGATGTGGCTCACTCTCGCTTTGACAGTATCTCTCGGGGTGGACTCGGAAGGCGGAAGTTGTGCGGGCGATGGAGTAGGCCTCTGCGGGGAGAGGGCTAATTTGAACTTGAGGGCGTTCATGGTCTTGGTCAAAGGTTGAGGAGGCTCGAGACAGACATATGCAAAGTCGGAGACCGTCTCCCCATGGTGGCCCGAGCTTGTCGTCGTCGGGGGTCCAATGGGTTTGGTAGATGAAATCAAGTAGGCCGTTGACAACCTTGACGGGAGTCAGAAAAGCATCTCCGAGATAGTAGGACTGGAAGGTATTCGAGCTAATGCCAGTGATACCCTCAGGAGAGTATTCCCAGTTGTGGAGAATAAACTGTAACACGGGGGACCGTCGAGCTACTGAGAGACTGCTGGGTTGGGGAAGCCAGAATCTCTCGTGCAGACTCGAGCTATACGCCCCGGTGAGCAACATCTTCCCTGTTGGACGGCGTTCGTTTTCCGCCAGGTACTCAAAGAGCTGACCGGTTTTTCGACAGATCTCTACTGACGCAGCTTGCTCGGGTAGTGTCATGATGTAAACATCACAAAAACGAACGACCTTGGGGGAGCATATAGCTTCCGCAAGTGCCTTGGGCTCCTCCTTCTCCCAGTCAGGACAAAGAGTCAGGACCCGATCACTTGCAAGTGGGATACCGCCGGCTCGGGGGTCATATTCGAGCACCAGCTGCACAACACGTGCTGTAAGACCAGCGAAGCAGGCCCAGTCCAGAAAGATTTCGTCACGGTATGCCCATCTCAGAAGCTGAACGGCGTCGTTCCATGCCACCACTTTACCCTTTTGCTTCTTCATTTCAAGTCTGATATGCAAACGAGTTGCTGCACGTTGGCCCATAGGTTGAGGTGCTTCGTACCTTACCAGTTCCCCCCAAGTCACCTGGGCCATGGTTACTACCATAGGATCCATCGCCCACTCTTCACGTCGTCGGGCATAAGTGAGCCTGTCCGGGGGCAGGGTGACCGGTCGTTGCGAGGGATCAGGATTCCAAATTACCCCTGGCCAAGTCTCTGTACACAAATGTGAGCACGGTGATGGTCAGAAGCGTTTCATTATATGGTGACTGATAGTGTAATAGGGTTCTACTTACCTTTTAATGCCCCAAGCTCTATCCTCGAAGCAGATGCCACTTCGCGCTTTTCCTGTTCAGTGAAGAGCCCCGTATTCATCTCGACAACAGACCATAGAGGCAACGACCACCCGGTCACCAGATGCTCAAGCTTTGTTGATCGTAATGATGGATCCAGGTCAGGTTCCCAGGTCGCAAAGCGATGTCTGATGTCGCTTGGATCAGTGACATCGATAAAAATAACCGACATGCCCACTTCCTTGGGCACTAGTGACTCTGAGCAACCCACGGGACAATTGCCCAGGATCTCGTCCGCAGACAACGGAAAAACACTCTCTCCAAAATGCGCGTCCTCCATGAGCGATGCCGAGCCAACGCACAAGCATGTGTGTATAAAAGGGAAGCACGGCTCTTCTGACGGCGGCGGGCTGTGCGGAGGACCACGGCGGGCATAGATGTCTGAACCAAGCTCTAATTCAAGAACCAGGGGGATACGGTTCGACGCGTCCGAGAAAATTCTTCGCAGAAGCAAGACAACGGACTCTTTCGTCGTGTTCTCGTATGGGCTTGGGCAACAGACACCTCCCAGACATCGGTAGTGGCCAGCAAGGCGGGCAATAGCGTAGACATGGTAGGGAGGCAGAGGAGGATCCTTGAGATGGACTTGAGGCACGGGAGGATCGGCCATAGTTTATGTTAGCTGAGATTCAAAGGCGGGGGAACTGTTAGAACACTACTGAGTTGGTTAGTAGACTGGAGTAAGGGATCTGGGTGAACAGATTCGGAAATCAAGATGGTTCCTACCTACCTGCCTCATTTGCTCCTAGATCGAATGCTGTCGTAGCTATATAATGCTATCAATACATAGTGACCGTTTCCTCTCATGTGATTGCTTCCGTTTACTGCTTATACTTCACACAAGCATGACAACCCAGATTGCCCCCCTCACGTATTCGATTCCAAAACCAACGCATTCGACCATCTCAGTGATGTACTTCCTGAAAGTCGTTTCCAATTCGATAAGATCCCAAACCCCCTCTGACGGCTCACACCGCCGCACATCTCCCCAAGAGAGCCCAAGGCAAAGTTAGGCAACTATTGCAGCTCCTTGAGGATGCTCTTCCCAAGCAGCACCTTCTGCGCCGACTCTTCCGCCTTGTTGATAATCTTATCAACATCATTCTTAGCCATCCACTCCGCTTGCTCCTTCTCGTCCAAGCTGTTTGTTTGTTTGCCCACTGTTAGCTAGCAGTCCGTCACCACGAACAAAGTTAGTTGCTCAACAGTCAACACAGAGCTGAAACTTACATAACAATCTGCGACCCAAAGATAAACAACCTTGAGTACGCAATCAACAACGCCTCATACTCCTCAACCGCCTGCCTATCAACCTCCTCCTTCTTTCCCTTCTGCTCCTTCCCCTGCCCCTGCCCCTTCTCCTGCCAATTCGTCTCCCCATTCTCCCAATTTTGTTGCCCCGGCTGCAACTGAAGCACACCAGCAGCCAAACCCCCCTCCTCCTTCTCCCTCCCTAGCCACTCCACCTGCCCCCTGACCACCTCCACGCCCTGGTCACACCTCGTCAGCGCCTTATCCAGCGTCCTGGCGAGCACGTCGGCCACGCCTGAAGCGGAAGCGCTGGTCAGACAGTCGCCCAGTGTGTTGGCGTGCTGGTTGAACTGGAGGAGCTTGGCCGAGAGGTTGGTGAGCTTGGTTAGGGAGGGGTTGGAGGGGTAGGGGTTCGAGGGGTCGGGTTTGGGGTCCGTGTTTGTTGGGGGAAGGAGGGTTTTCTCGATTAGTTGGGAGGTGGAACGGGCTTTTTCGGCGAGGGAGGAGGCGGCGGCTGCTAGGGCGAGAGGCTGCGATGTTGATGGTGGTGGTGGTGGTGATGACATTTTGTTTGGTGGCGGGTGGTTTGTGGCCTGTAGGAGGGTGCTGGGTGGGGTAGTCTAGATGTTCTGCTGGAACTAGGCGTGTTGGAGGTTGTCCTGTGTAGGCGGTTAAGATAAGTGGTGGCGTTGAAAGTTAAGTAGATATGTAGGTAAACCGGGATAAAATGATGGTTCAGGTATTTCGTTGTGGTTGAAGTTAAGGTAAAGTTGTCCGGACCCGAGGCGCTGGATAAAGATGATGAGTGGATGTCCAAGGGAAATGCAGTGGTGAGTGGAAAAACGGGCTGCAATGGAACCTTTCACAAGCCTTTTGTCAGCCCACGCGCCTTACGTGCAGCGTGGGGCACAAGCGCTGAGAAAGTGCGGGGTTCCCTGTTAACGCCGGCAGTCACCGACGGACCGTGGGGGTTGGGTGGGTTCGGGTTCGGGGGTGACGAATTGCGCTGTGATGGAATGGTAGTTTTGGTGCATCCCGGATCTTAAGAGTGAGAAGGTGAGAGGCAGAAGATATCGTAATCAAGAGGCCTTAACAAGACGGGGGTCGTGTGGGAAGAAAGTGTTTTGTTTCTTTTGTCGACAAATTCGTTGTGCGAAGAGGACATGTGTGTCATGCTAAAACAGACCGTAAACCCTAACCCTCTTTTGCGGCACCTCATGTGAGCTGGGCTCGCTAGGGCATCCTGGCCGACTCCAAGAAATTGATTTGGGGGCATGCGCAACTGCGTTACGAAGTCACAAATTTTGGAGGCCCCAAATCAGGAAATGCATTGACTGGATGAACACCTGTCTTGTGGAAAGATGCAGTTGCACCCATCTGCATTCGAATTTGGAACCTTGATTCCTCAACTTTTTACGGATTCCAATTTTGTTGTTGCCCGCCAATGCTCCCAACAGAATTCGGTTCCTTTCATGGTGTAAAATTGCAGGTGTAAGTGAATAAGTCTTGGCATGTTTTGATACAAAATCTGGCCCCCTGAATGGTGAATTCTGCACCGTTGGGACACTGAGGACACTCTTCGATATTTCACCACACAAATCACATGCAAGTATAAAGAAGGCAGTTCTGAAATTTCAAAAGCTTTTCAAATCAAGAATCGTGCAAAGAATATGTGCAAGACTTGTGCAACACACAAACAATCGGTCAACGGGAGACGGCCCGTCAGGCCATGTGGCTGCTGACGTTATGTTGGAGGTTTGTTCCTTCCTTTCCTGTCATGATATTCTGATGTTGCACACACTGCAGAATTCTGAAATTTTCCTTTTTCGTGGGGGTCATTAACTACAGTCAAGGAAAGAGCGAACTTGGAGTTTGCGCGCAGCGAATCGTGGGACTTCAATTTCTTTCTACCGACTACCGAGAGTTGTGTAGTAAGGAATGAACAGCTAGCCAAGCTGGTAAAACACGAATCATCAGATTAAACCCATTCTTCAAAACCATATTCTCCCCCTCCCGTGTGAGCGTCACACTCTTAACTCCCGAAGCAGGTCTCTTGTCGTGACCGTTTCATCATACCAGGATGAACACCCAGCTGCAACTGCTTAGTAGCAGACGGTAGCAGGGATGCCAACGCCAAAGTTGTTGCACCGGTTGCACTGCTGAACGAAGCGCCAGACGTAGCCGGTGGGGTCGGTCTCGTAGATAGCGTTGAAGATCTGACCCTCGGTGGTTCCCGGAGGAGAGATGGCGAGAAGGTGCTCCTTGTCAGAGCCTGACGATATGACATGTTTTTTTTAGCAAAATTTCAGTCAAGATGTGGTATGATTTTAGACTGATAAGGCTTACACTTCAGGTCGTTGATGATACGCCAGCCGCACAGCTGGACGCTGGCGGGGCAGGCAACCTGGCGGGTCTCGACGGTAGCCTCGGTAGGAGCACCCTGAGCGGCGGCGGCGAGGGCCGCGATGGCGACAACGATGGTGTTGAGGGCGAACATTTTGGATGATGGTTTTAGAAAAGTGTAAGGTGAAGTGTGTGGGTTGTTGACTTGAATGTGCTTGTGAAGTGTGTGATGATGAGAGGAAAGATTGTCCAGAGTCGACGACAGTTCCTCGGTCTTTATAGACTTTGGACATCCAGCAATCTTGAAGTTCATGGCTGTCGCTTTGCGCAGTTGAGCGCTTGTTGATACCGAATCTGTCCATATCATGATTCTCATCAAGTTGGCAAAGCCACATACATCACACCGCCGTGATGTTGTTAAGGATATCGACCAACGAACCAACAAGTTCAGGGTGAGCAGCCGACTCCTGTGCCTCCGAGCATCTCTAAAATTTATCACCAGAATCACTCTCACCGGCTTTCAATGTTTCCACATTGGGGCAAATAAGCTGACGCACACAGCCAAGTATCATGATGAGAGACATTATCGCGCATGTGTTGATGTTCGTCTTCTTGAAGTTCTCGTGGTCTCAGGTAGGCTCTCAGCGGCGGTGAGCCAGCACCTCTGCGGAAACTTGGTGGGCGAATTTCGCCCGAGTTACTCTCAAACATGCTTTTCTATCACTCCTCTTCCTCAAAAATTTCCCCTGCCACTGCGTCCTTCCACAAGCCCAAAGTTCTCTTCTTTGAGTCTCATATGCGCTAGGTTCCGTTTGCAGGAGATCTCTCCCCCTTCCCCAGAGACCAGAAAGCTTAACTTCCTTAACTCTTAGACGTGTTTCCAGTTCGTTTCACTTGCCTGGCCTTATCACCCGGCCATGGCAGAACCAAACTTCTTCGACTCTTGGTCCTTGGACCGCAGAGATTTCCGAGGCCTTGGCTCAGCCCTGTTCAAAATTGCCTCCCTGAGCTTGCCACCTGCAGTACCGTAAATTGCTTGACCGAGTATGTAATATCTTGCTCCGCTTTCCTGGCTAGTGACCCATAGTTGGAAGTTTATTGGAAGCTTTCGGTTCCAGGTGTCTGGAACACCGGCTGTGACCTTGCGGCCCGGTAGTTGACCAGTCGGTTTTGGTCATCGTTGACTTGGACCTACCTGGTCTAGGCAACTGGAATGCGAGGGGACATCCAACTTCGGTAGGGTTGGGCTGAGCTGCGAGCCTCAATACCTCAAGTGGGGGTTCATGTTGATGTCACATAGCAGAATGTCAGAAAGTGTTACTGGTAGTTCATGTTGGTCATATGGAGAGAAGAACCCTACATGTCTCTACATAGCTGAAGGTACCTAGAGATGTAAACCATGATTCGCCGCTGTCGGTGTCATTACCGAAGGAGAAGATTGGAGTTGAGGTCGTTCGTTCGGGTACTGTTCCAGAATCCAGTCAGCTTACCACCCATGCTTCCCGCACATCTACATGCCAAGTCCCCAAAGAAGCATTTATGCCGAATTTCTCTCCCCGAGTAGGCCATGACTGCAGTGCCCAGAGGTTACCATCACCACAAGCAACAAAACCCAACCGTTGACATACATCGAAGGGCGTGGGGTGCTGATACTGTCACGCATTCCATAACCAAACTGGAGGCGTATTTACTCTTGCTTGTCACTGTGATGAGAGCTCCTTCCAGCCACTAACCAAGCCAACGCCAACATGTACCGGCAAAGCACAAAGTTTGGTTCGGTGTAATGTACTAACTTGGATTCAATGTGACGAAGTCGTCGCTGAGGACTTGACCGAGAACGACCACGTTACACCAGTTCCCAATAGCCAACAGAACCTGTCTCACTCTCGCCTGTCTCCCTGTCAAACCGACAGCGCCGCTCCTCGTGGCTCATTGCGCCGCAGCGTCGCATGGTGAACCAAGTTACCGGTGTCCGCTGTTGGTCAGGGTCATTGGGGCGAAGAATGATCTGTGGGGGTTATATGTAAGCTCTGTATAAATCAGATTGTGTAAGTGATGTTACACCTCGATTCTTGCATGCATGAAATTCGTCCTCATAGGGAAGGAAGTTTGAGATGGAGTTGAGGTTGATTTACAGGATGAGATGTAAATTACCGTATTGGGAATCCACGCGGCAGATGAAGTTTGAAAGATTAAAGCCCAGATTGTTCTTAACTAAAAACCGAAGCGTCCGTTACACCCCAAACACTGCGGCTCCTCTTGGAGAGAAACGCCCTTCTATTCTATATTTCTTGCGCACGTCTTTGTCGGTGTTAACAGTTTGACAAACCTCCAGGGGCAGCCTGTTGCCCTCAGCACGTTCGGCGGTGAAAATTACAAACTCGGGCCACGGACCAACGGTTGACACAACTCCACAGTTGCGGCTCGCCCGGGGCTTCTGTAAGTGGAACTGACGCATGCCAAGACTTGGGGGTTCCTGTCAGAGGCCAGGGGATCCACTGGCTGTGCACGTGCCTAGTTGGGCTGGGATATGCGGGATTTATTACAGATACCAGAGCTTCAAGTCTGCAAAGCCAGTCTTATATACATACATACAATTAAACCACATTAAACCTATATCGATTATTACTAATAATATTATAATTAAGAGTCTTATTAATTCGACTGTTAAAGTTATCGCTAGTAACGATAACTGATTAAACGATTATTAATAATATTTACGATTAAAATTAATAATGTTACTTTAACGGCCTTAAGGATTAGCCGGCCTAGGAAGATGCCTTTATTTTTATAGCCTAAGACTTAGGTCTCTGGAAGTATATCGATTTAAATAACTACGTTCCTTGGCTAACCGAACTAGTAAAACCCAATATTACCAATTATTAAGGGGAGGTTCCTACTAGAGAAATTAAGGAAGTTAAAAAGGATAAGGAGCTTATCCTATTTATTGCCGCTAAATTTTATAGTTTCTATTATAAGTACGACTACTATAATTATATAATTAAGAAGTCGGATTAGTATATAGAGGTTAAGACCTTTTTTAATTTAAGTATTAAAAAGATTATATTAAGTTGTTAAATATTTGAAACCGTTGGAAATAATTACCGGCAGATTAATTTTATTAAATGTATTAGTCTATATAAATAGTATACTAATTTTAGTAAATTTACCGCTTTTAATAATTATAACGTAAAAGAATTCGCCCGGGCTAAATTTATTAATATTTTTAAGCCCCTTAATAGAGTTAATTATAATTAGTATAATTAGATTTTTTATTAGGAGGTGGCTATAGCCCTTTATATTATTAAAGGAATTATTAGAATAAATAAATTAAATTTATAGTTCTTAAAATTCTATATAGTTATAAGGTCGAATCCTTATACCGTTTAGGTAGATAATTATTAATTTTAATATAATAAAGAGATTGAGAGAAATTTTAATTTTAAAATTTCTTTCTATATTATAGTTAAAGACTTTCGTAAAATAGTAATAGCGAATATTATTTAGGGAAAGGGTCGCGCCCTTTTATTTAAGGGTATTATATTTGTAATTACGTTAGGTGGTAAACTTATTAGAAAGGACGCCCTTAGCGATAAATAAAGTTTTAGCCCGGAAGTAAAGGAATAGGAAGAGGTTATAGGTAAGAATAGTAAATTTAGGAAAAATATTAATAAGAGTAGAAATACCTCCTCTTTATCCTTATTAACGAATGAACGATTGCATTAATCCCTATATAAACTTCATAAATAGCCGGGTTATAATTTAGATAAATATTACTACGCTAAATTATAGTTGGCTTATAAAGGTTAAATTGAAAGTTTAATTATTAAAAAGCGCGCGTACGCCAATTTAAAAAAAAGATAAAATATTTAAAGAGGCCGTTAATTATTTGCGAATGCAATAGAATAATGAAGATTAAGATAATTAATTTTATAGTCGCTACGTAGGTAAGAGTAGTTTTTTAATACCTATAGCGAAATATAATATTTTATATTTATTAAAAGATTCTATAACCTTCGATTTAAGTACGATAACATATATTTTCAATAAAGTTAATTATTTTAAAGACTTTACTCCTTTAAATATTAGTAAATATATATAGGCGGAAAATAAGCGGATTCCTATAGAGGGGTATAATATTATTATAATTATAGTTTAAAATGACGACGGAAATAGAGAAATCTAATTCACTAACGTCGCTCTAATACCGGGTATAATTTATAATTTCGTTTCCTTAAAATAATTTGAAGACGAATAAATCTATTGGGATTATAAGAATAATTGCTTATATTCCTACTTTACGGATTCCTTTATTTATTATATCCTTTCTAAATATAAATAATTTATTTTAGGGTATATTCCTTTATAGAATAGTATTAACGAATTCTCTTTTATTATATAACATATAAATTATATTAAGCAGAAGCTTTAAGAGGGTAAGCCCCTTCGCTAGTATTTTCGATTTAATTACCCAAGACCCAAGATTTTAATTACATTAACGGAATAAGTATATAGCGTACGATTTAAAGAATTGGATATAATATACTACGAATTATATATTAAAGCTAAATTAAAACGTTAAATACGTAGAGAAGTTTGTAATTACTTAGAGGGCCCTAAATTATAATTAGCCGTCGATTTTTCTTTATAAGGAAATAAAGGTAGGGGGTTAGAAATATTTAAATTTAATAGTAGTTATAGATTGGTAGATTAAATTCGTTTAAGTATATTATTTAGGTAATAGAAAAGCCGAATTTATTATTGCGTATTTCGAATCCCTTTATATAAGGCTATAAATTTAAGATTAAATTCTACTTCGGGTAGTCGAATATAATAATAAAATAATTAGTAATAAGAAAACTATTACCTAATTTGCCGTTAAAGGAATTAATGTCGAGCCCTTAGCGCTTTATATATAAGTTTAAAACGGCGGCGTAGAACGCTCAAGGGGTGTAATTAAGACTAAGAGTACGGTAATACAATTAGGTGTAAATTTTCCTTACGAATTGTAGATAGAAATTATTAGAGTAGTTATATATTTATATAATTTGACCTTTAAGGCAGAATATTATTAGAAATTTCCCTAAGATTAATTCGAAACGTATTACCAATTTAGAAATGATATTATTCTTCTATTAGACCCCTCCCCTATTATTATATATTTTAAAATATATAGTTGTAAAACCTTTATTTTTATAATAGAAATGTCACAGGGCTAGCCTATAACATTCTTGCACTACACTAACTACCCTATATACTTTACCTAGAACATAATAATCACGTGCAATTGTACGTATACGCGTATATAGACTAGCCTACTAAGGCTCTCGCCTATATAGCTAGTCCTTTATATATACCTTTCTTTCCTCTCCTCCGCACAATAACGCATATCTTACCCTACCCCTAATAATACTTCACCCCGTAATAATTTATTATACTTCACTATTATACTACGCGCACTCAAGGGAAAAATTAATCAATTGATTAATTAAATTCTTAAATAATCATAGATCTCGTATTACGACCCTTCAAAACTTAGGCCCTTATTAACGGGATAAATATAAAATTCGACCCTAATATCCCCAAGTCCGAACTAAAAATCAATTAATTAATTAATTAACTAAGTATCTAATCTTCTCTCCCTTCCTATTTCTAAAACGGTAATTTTAAAAGATTACCGCCGTTACAATTAATTTAGCGATTAATATCAGGCGTCCCAATTATTATAAACAATTTTATTATAATTACCGTAATTAGAACCCTTTAAATTTCTAACCCCGTAAATTAAACGATTTATAATAACTTCGTAAATGTATTTATAAACTTTAATAATAATCTCCTTACTAACCTTCCTTCGATTTCAATTATAGAGTACGTCTTTACTTTTGCAATTATCCCCGTTTTCCGCGACGTAATTATCGCCCTAAATTGTTCAATTTACAACGATATTATCGAAGCCTACAATTACGCCCAAAGAGCGGAAGAAAAATTAGAGGATTCCTAAAGGGAGGTTGCTAGACTCAATAGTAATGTAATTACTACGGTCCTCTAATATAAATTTAAAGTTAACGAACTATATAAAAAGATCGCCGCTTTAAAATAATTATTTACCGACTTTAAAATTAATACTAACCTCGCCTTTTAAAAATAATACGAAAAATATATTAAAACTATTAACGATCTCTATAATTAATTAAAGTAAATAAATACCACTAACCTTACGTATAACCTAGCCCAAATCCCCGTCCCTAATAACCCTAAACCCCCGAATAACCCTAACCCCCCAAACGATTCCAATATATCGACTATAATTACCGGCAACGGATAATCGGTATCGTCCCGCTCGTACATCCCACTATTTAATACTAAGAGTAATACCCTTCTAAAGTACATAAAATACTACCGAATTTAGCGTATAAAAATTAAATTATACTAAATTAATAAGGCCGTTTACTTTACGCTTAAAATTAAACGTTTTTTATATATCGTTAAATTCCTAAAAGTTACGCCCTTTTCTACTATCAAATCGGACTTATTTATAATCTTCGAATATTTTACTAATAATATTAAATAGAAATAGAAAACTATGATAGACCTCTTCGCCGAATTCGATATTAAATATAATAACGTCGACTTTACTATTTATATTCGCTGCAAACTAAACGAATTAAAAATAATTAAAGATATATACTAATAAACCTTTAAAGACTAATTTATTTTATTATTAATTATTATAAATTTAATAATACTATCAAAATTTACTACCTCTATAATAAAATTATTAAAAAACTCTGGGCCGCTTTCGTTCTCTAATACCCTTAACCCGCTAATAAGAATTATATAAAATAGTTTAAAATTACCCAAGGCTTCGCCTAAAACTTCGAAGATATTACTTACTATAATAATTTCACTAACTCTTTTTATAGACCGAAAACCACTTCTATTTCTACTACGAATAAATCCGTTAATTAAAGCAGCATTACTATAAATATTAATATCAATAAAATATCCGCTACCGATATTACTCTACGCAATATAATCTCCTAGGAAAATTTCGACTACCGTATATAAATAAGCACTTATACCTATTATAACTATTAAAGTTACTTCTCGGCTATATACTATACTAATATTAATTTTAAGAAAGAAGTCCGCCTATCCCGTAATAGAAGTAAAAATGATAAAGGAAGCAAAGGCGGTAAATGCGGTGGTAAAAGAAATAACGCCGCTCCCCAATAAAACTAGTACAGTTACGGCCAATAATAATATAATTAATACCGCCCAACTAAAAATTATTAAATTAACGCTATAAATAGAACCCCCGCGGCCGCTTAAAATTATTAAAACGCCCAGCCCCCACCTGTCTAATCTCCGCTTATTAACCCGGTTTCGTTAACCCTATTTAAAATAATAAAAATAGTATCGTCGGCTAATAGGGAAATATATAACCTCTAAACTAAACTATACTTCGAGGTATAAATCCATAAAATTGAAGGAAAAGAAAGGGAATATCCCTATATAATCAAATATAATCGAGATATATAAATTTTCTATAAATAGCTATTATAAATATCCTAATTTATTAAAATTTTCTATTTATTTATTTAACGGATCGTATAAATTATGTTATTATACCCTATATGATAATAATTACACTACTCTTAATTTTATTGATAAATATTTTATTTACCATTATTAATTTCCTTATTACAAATTCAAAACGCTAAAAATCCTCTACTTTACTAATAAAAGCCTAACTAAAAATAATATTACTTACTTCTCTAAATTAATAATATAAGCGGGATTCTATTACGAAATTATTAACTTATTAACTTATAATTTAATAAAGAATAACCCAATTATCTTTAACTATCTCTAATTCGTTTACCACGCTCTAAATATCTCCTAGCTTCATAATTTTCTATAATTTACCCTAGTATATATTAGTTATTATAGACTTAATATATATATAATAATAATGATAGACTTATAACGGATTTACGAGCTTATATAATAATATATAAGTATAAAAATGAAATTTATATTTTTATATATAAATACTATTTTTTATAACCGGAGAAAAATTCCGGTCCGGAAGAAAGGTCCGATTTATAATAGGGATTACCCCTAAATAGAATCCGGAAGAAAACCCAGAGGAAAATCTAAACCTCGACCTTCGTAGTCGAATTCTGGCCTCAACATCAATCAAACGAAATCATACGTAACTCCATTAGAAAGAACGGAATATGACGTTTCCGACCGTACAAACGGTTTCGTTATATGACGACTATATAGAGTAGAAGTGAAGAAAGAAATCCGAGAAGACTTTTGAGTTCGGATTCGAATTCCGGGCTCTACGGCTAACATATAAGAATAACCAGACTACCGTTAGAATAATGAAAAAATAACAATTCCAAAGGTATAAACGGTTTTATTATTCGATAATTTATTGATTTAAAAAGTCTATTTGAAGAGGGCTTCCCTCGAAGAAAGGGGAAAAGAAATATATCTTAGACACTCATCGATATCTCGACCAATCTACCGCCATTCCCTACATTCTACATACCATTCTACTCCACTTTGAACGCTCCACACAACCATATCAACCGTACCTTCGTACCGTATCCACTCGTCGATCGATACCTTCCAACAGTATATAAATTACGAAGCTACTTCCTGAAAGGCGCTCCCAATTATATATACTACACTTTTTCAAAATTTAAAAGAAATTATATTATTTTTCTATATAATAATTTGGGGTAGTATGCCTTATGATCTTTACGCTGATTTATTTCACGATTTTTCTATAATGCATTTTATTTAGGAATATAATTACAAGACTAAAAGGAACTGGTTAGCTAGAATTAATTAGGGATTATAGGAATAATTAGGAAATTAATAGATAATTAATCACATTGATTGTCTAGATAGCTAATCACTTATCTATAATTAATAAATAAAATTAAATAAACTATTAATAGAAAAAGAAGACTAATAGAGGAAGAATAAAAGGATAAGAGGATAATAAAAAGGAAAAGGGATTAACAATACGAAAAAGATAATTAGGAGAGGGATAACAACAAAGAAACAACAATATTCTTTTCAAATATACTCTAATATACTTTAATTAAATACTTTAAATCGCCTTTCGTTACTTCTTTGCGTAAGACATCTAATCAATTATTTCATTAATAATTAAGCGTTTCCTACTCTTTTATTAATAATTAAAGAAAGAAATCACTTTCATTTATTAATTATTAAGTAATAAACTTTATATTTATTTATTCTTTAAATTTTAAAACTATTCGCAACCTATTCGTTTACTTTCTTTAACCCTCCCCTTTCTAAACCTCAAACTTTAACCTTTCTATCCACAATCAACGCTAACTACTTCGTCTACCTAAATTATGACTTCCAATAATATAACCCTAATTAATTATCTATAATAAACTTTTATTATAATATATAATTAGTTTTATATTATATTATTATATTATTTTAACCTATTTCAAATTAATAATAAGGACGAAATAAGGTACAAACTCATCGCTAAAACTAGCGGAAACGGAAATAGAAAATTTACAACTAGAGTTTTCCATCCTTATTAAAATTTACCCTATTTTCTAAGAAGTTAATTAATTATTTATTTCAAACCTATATTAAAATCATCAAATTAAAAGAACGACAAAAACCTTAGGACTAATCGTATAACAATTCCGGGGCTTTCGATAATACCGATATTCAATTATTTTAATAACTATACTAAATTGTTAACGTTATAACAGAACGGACGCAATTAGAAAGTAACGATTATTTAAGCATAACGACAATAATATAACGAAAAATAACGATAATCTAATGAATAATTAAATAAAACAATAAGAACGACCGAACGTAATTAAATATAAATATAAATAACAAATTAAATACAATAATTACAATAGTTCGTACAATAGTTATAACCGTTCGTACAATAATAATAATCGGATAATTAAATAATTAATTATAAAACGAACGTTAAATAATATTTAAAGTAACAAAATCCTAAATAACGTCTACGACCTCTATTCTAAAACGAAAAATCAAATAAAATTTAGTCCACCTTTTTACAAGTATATAATTAATTATCCTTATAATAAAATACTCCTATAAAATATTTTTACCAAACTTTTTCTTTTAGAAATATACTTTTAATTACAATTAATAATTCTTACTTCCTAATAATATTTATTATCACAACTAAAAAAATATATAGAAATGTAATCGGATAATATAATCCTTATCAAAAAGCATTATATTTATCACCTTTACAATACAGACGATAGTAAGGGAAAGAACCACTTTAAAATAATTATAGTAATCTCCGAAAAAAAACACTAAGAAAGAACGTTATAATATTCCTTTTACTAAAAAGAAATTACAAAAGAGACATCTAAAAAGAAAAATTATTAGTATCAACTGATTAAAAGAATATATTAGTACTAATAAAAGAATCGAAAAAAAAAAACTTACGATCCTATAATAATCGTTAATAAGAGAAAAGGAAAAGAGAAAGATAAATAGCAGCAATAATGAGATCTTTTCAATTTTATTTACCAATTTTAATTTGAATACTTCTAATTAAGAACCAACTTCTAAATTACTTCCTCTACTTCCTTTACCTTTTTTACCCTTAATACTTCCTTTACCTCTTCTACCCTTAATACTTCCTTCACGTCTTCTACTTCCCTCTCCTCCATTATCACCCTCACTACCTCCCTCACCACTATCATCGTCACCCTTACATATACCCGAAACTACCTTCTTCCACTTCCTAGTATTTAATTAACTTATTATATCTAATTAAAATTAAATACCTAATTAAATATAATTATTCTCCTTATCTTCCTCAAAATCTTTACAACCTATTTTATACTTTAATAAGAATCTAAATAATCATAATTTTACCTTCTTTACCCTATAATAGAACTAACGGATATTTTCTATTCTATAACGAATAACAATAAAAAGACTCTTAATAATACTCTACTAGATCTTAAAAATTATATTTTTAAAAATCTATTAATTAGAAACTTATTTTAAATATTAGTAGCTAAATCTTTAGTTACTACCTTTATAATCGATTACTTACTTAATACAAAGTTCAAAAGGAAAAAAATTGATCGATACCTTAAGGAATTTAATAAGCGCATCGAAAATTACGTACTATCTAATCGAACGAAACTTAACGTATAATACTAATAATATACTAATAATATTAAGGAAATTTACTAAGAAATCGCTCGCACTCTTAACAATAATAATAAATTTAACTAGGAACGGTACAACAAACAATTAAAATAAAAACTCCTCGTCCTAAACCCTAAACAAACTAATTCGAGAATTATATCGTTAAAAGTCTTTTATAATAAATTAATCCCTTATTAAAAATTAAATAAATCAGCAAGGTATTTATTTAAAAGGAATAAAGAAATAGAGAAAATAATACGAATAATCCGGCATTAAAAGTTTTAAAAATAAAAAATAAATCTTTAAATAATATTCCTTTTAATCGATAATAAAAGCGAACTTTATTAAAAACTTATAAGAAACAAATTTTAAAACTTTTATATTTTTATACTATTTTATAGCATTTAATATCAGTTAAAAAAACGAAAGCAGGATCAATTACACTTACTTCCACACCTTCCGGGACAATTAATTAATTATCTCCTAAAAAAAACGCTAAATTCAAAATCCTTTACCACTTATATTATATATAAAAAGAAAAGTTAGAAGATTATACTAATTAATAATATACCTTCTAATAAGTCGAAACCGGAAGAAAATCCTAAATAGAAAGTTAAAACGTCTTACTACCCAAAAAAAAAAGATTAATAAAAGGAAGAAAACCTACCCTTCCCCTTAGAACAACGTAATTACCCCTCACTTTTCCGAAATAGAAGAAAATAAATATTTAATTTTAGAACGTCTTCAAATTATATTAAAAAGTATTTAAAATATTTTAAATCCCGAAGAACGGGACCTTTTCACTTATATATTCAAGAATCGAAAAATTACTTTAGTTTAGGACTTCAATTATATAAGGAAAATCGAACTAAATATCTTCCTACCGTAAGAAATCCGCACTATCCCTTATATAATATAATGAAGTAAATCAATTCCTATATTAAAGGCCAACTATAATAAAGTCTATAAGTTTCTAAAGAATAAGATTAAATATAAAACTTTAAAAGAAAATCATACGGCCTACTGAAATAATTAGTTTTTAATAGCTAAAAGAAATAATAGCCTACGTCTAATGAATAACATACAAAAAATCAACGCGGTCATACTTCGTAATTCTAATATCCCTCCCAATTATAAAACATTTAATAAAAAGTTTAAAGGCTATAAAATATTATCGTTATTTAATCTATACTCCGGATATAATAAAATTGAATTTAAAGAAAAGAGCCGGGATCTTACAACTTTTCAAAATCCCTTAAAGTCTCTCCAATATACTATGTTACCCTAAAGAAGGACAAATTCGGTTGCCTAATTTATACGTAATGTAATAAAAATTTTATATAATCAAATACCCTAAATTTATTAACTTTACCTAAATAATATTTATATCAAATTGATTACTACAAATTATAATGAGGAAGAAATTGAATTTAGGATAAAGAAATATACTTTTAAATACCTTTTAAATATTAATAAAATATTTATTAATATTAAATTAAATATTATGATAATAGCGGCCGAAAAATCCTAATAATATTAGCTGGAAATTATTTTAATAAGTTACCTCTATTCAAAAAGTAGTTAACGACCGGTACCTAAAAAGATATTTAAAATTATAATTTAGAAATACTATAAATTGACTAAACTTATAAGAAAAGAATTTTAATAACTACGAACTTTCTTAAAAATTGTAAGGTATTACCGAATTTAAATTAAGCACTTTAAATTAATCACCTTACCTCTTTACGCTTTAATAAAGAAGGGAGTAAAATAATAAAATATAGAAAATAAATAATTCGTTATAAAATACCTATAATATAAAATTACCTCAACGCCTTATTTAACCCTAATCGTCTACAACGATCCGTAATATCAGCAAATCTTTCTCGTCGTCGATATATTACTAATAAGTTAAGGTACAATCTTTAAATAAGTAGTGTTTAATAAATTAAAATACCCTTACCAGTTCGAAAACGAAATTTAGTCCGACGTAGAGAAATAATATAACCCTATTAAAAGAGAACTTCGGAATCTTCTTTATACTTTAAAAAGAATAAAAAAATATCTTTTAAATATTTAATTCATTATTAAAATAAATATTCAAATTATAGTTTACTAATTAAAAGGTATTACTAATAATATTCCTAGAATATTAATTATATATTAAATTACCTAAATTCGCTCATTTAATTTCGAAAGTAGGCAAATCCTAAGAAAGAAGAACGTTATAACTAACTATCTATTACATTTACCTCCTTCCAACAATAATATAAAAGAAAAAAAAGAAGAAGAAAATATCAACAATTATATAGACTATTAAATTTTTACTCTAAAATTAAATAAACAATAACTAATAATAAATATAGAATAGGAATTACTCATTAATAAATAATTTATTAATTCTTAATAGATCGCTAAATACCTATAAACTTCTAAATATCCTAATTCTTTAAAAACGGAAATAGATTGCTGACGTTTCAAAACGGAAACTATTAAATTTTTCGTAAATGATTGCGCCTTATAATTACATCCTAGGAATACTATTTAAATACTATGCAAATTAATTAATAGTATAATTAATTAAGATACTATCTTCCGGAAATACTATAATAAAATCGGGTATAAAGGAAGAAAAACTATTTATCGACTGATTATTGATTATTATTATTAGAAAAGGATATACTCCTACGTAGAAAACAGTATTAAATATTATTAAAACTACTAAATATAGAATCCATAATAATTTATTAATATTTTCTAATATACTAATCCAACGCTTTAATTATTTTATAAATAGATTTTAGATATTTAATATTTACTTAGACGGAATAAAAAAGAATTAGTATTATTAAAGCCTAAAATAATCTTACGAGTTACATTAAAGCCAAAGTCCTATCTATAATAAATTCTAAAAACATTGCCCGATTTATAGAAATATAAATTATTTATCGTTAGGGACTTCCTTTATTAATAATTGTTAATAGAAAATTGGAATTTGAAACGAAGTTAGAAAAATCATTTTTCATTTTATAAATCCTATTTATTAGGATTTTACCTTATAATTCTAGAGCCAATAATATAAATGAATTGAACTACTTCCCTATTACTACTATATTTATAAAGATTATTAATAATATTAGTAAAAATTTAAAACTTTAGATACTTTACGTTCTATTTACTAATTAGACTACGGTTCGTAGGAACTATAGTTTTATTCCCTTCTATTTCAACTATAATTATAATCTGGTTTCTCTAATTAAATTTAATCTACCTTCTTAGAGAATTATACAATAAATAATAATTAAAGATAATAGATTATTTAAGGCCAAGTTTAATCTAATATTTAGTAAGGCCCATTTATTATAGAATAGTAAATACTATTTTAATCTAGTAGTAAAGAAAATTTCCGCTATAAGAAAAAAGGCCATAAAATATCGTAATAAACCAAATAAAGGGGAAATTAAACTTAACGTTGCTAAATTTACCGTAGGGGATTTTATCCTAATTTACGACTTAATCCGCCGGATTAATATAAATTCTATTCGGAAATTAACTTATTATTAACTTAAACACTTTAAAATTAGAAAAATTAAATTCTATATATAAATACTTTTTAAAAACCTTAGATAGTATTAATATCATAATTTCTTATTTAGCGGAAAGGATTAAAAAATATTTTCCCGTTAATAGGGCTTAGTTAGAAATTAATTCGGATACTGAAAATCCGAAAGTATTACTTTTAACTTATCTATAGGAAGATTTAAAGGAAAGAATAGTTAATAAAAATATAGTAAAAAAACCGGTAGCCGATCCGGAAAGGGATAAACGGGATCCGGCGGCTAATAAGTTTGATTAGATAATATGATAGGAAACGTAAAAAGATACCGAATAGAAAAATCGGGAATTTAAAATTATTTTGATTAAAGGACCGGTTAAAAATTGGAAACCAACTTACAATTATAGAAACTAAAAGAAAAATTAATAATAGACTTACATTACATAATCAGCGATATACAAACTAAATATTATTTTTATTTTATATTATTTTACAAAAGGAACCGAGTAGATATTGTTATTCTTTTCGAAGGGAAGATTATAATTATAACACTATAAGGAACACTATACTATTAAATAAGGATTACACAGAATGAGAATCTATTCCGAACGAAAAACTCGAAAAATTTTATACTTTTTATACTACTAATAAACCTTCCTCCGAAAAACCAACGCGAACTAATGAATTATTTAATAATATACGATTAAAAAACCCTTTATTTTTTTATACTAAATTTATCGAATCTAAGACTTCTAACTCCTAATTCCCTCTTTCTTACTAAATATTAAGCCTATAATTTAAAATCAACCCCGAAATAAATTCTAATTCGAAATCTAAAAGGATAAACACTAACGATTATCCAACTCTTACGATTAAAAGCCTACCCCTCCTTAATCTAATCAACTCCCGGTAATTTTATAATAATAGTATTTTGTACGTTTTTTATACTTATTAAATAAGAAAAGATCTTTTTAAAGGCCTAATAATAATTTCCGTAAATACCTTCTTTTAATATTAAGCCGGGAATTATTAAAGAGTAGTATTTAATAAACGGAATAATAATTAGTACTTATTTAAATTTCCGGGTACTATCGTTGTATATTAATATATACTCTCAGGAAAACTGATCGGCGTAATAAGAATAGTATAAATAATGACTATTATTACAAAAGATTAATCGAAAACTAATTAATAAGTATAAAAATAACTTATACTTTATTAAAAACGTAAATACTAAACGTGTTAATACAATCTTCCCTTTAATTTATAAAGAAAGTAAAGCGACCGAACGGCTAACCGCCCTTCTATTTAATTTAGACTACGCTCTATAATAATCATAATTAAATTTAATTCTTCTTAATCGGATCAATTCAGCCCTATTTAGCGCCGAAATCTTAAAATATTTTAACTAATCCCTCGTAATCTCGTAGAAATAACTATAGTAAAACTAATTATAATATTTAAAGAGGATAAGTAACTATATAAAAGATTATTAACTAGAATATAGCCTATAAACGTTTAAATAAATTAGTTCCCTAAATAATATCGTTGGGAAGTAATCCTTTACTAATCTATTACTAAACCCAGGATTAAAGGTACTCCTTAACTTTTAAGCGATTATTATATTAAATTCAATAATCGGCTATATATAAATATTTAGGAAAATAACTTTAACGAAGAGGAAGAATATCGTGTTGATAATTTCGTTATTACCTAGTAATATTCTAACCTAAATTTTAATTAAGCAACAATTATATAGGGCGAAAACGTTAGGATAAGTCCTCGTTAGCTATTTTAGTAATTCATAAAGTTTAGATATTGATAATAGAATAAAAAGAGGAAGAAATATAATAATAAAAAAGAAAAGAAGAAGGGAAACGGGATGCTTATACCTAAATAGTAGATTAAAAGCAATTAATTAATGATATTTCACGTTATAAAAATATAATTAAATATTAAAATAGGTATATTACTTATAATTAAGGAGAAAAAGAACAAATGAAAAAAGAAATTATTAAAATAATTTATACTACTATTAAAAAGAGATAAAAGCAATTTCTAGAGAAAATTCCGCCTTCAATCTTGAAATTTACTTAAGTTTACCCTCTAATATAAAAGCACTCGATAGAAAAAAAAAGTTTTCGAATTAAAAACAAACTTTAATTAGATTAAGTATCGCTTTATAATTTATATAAGTAATAGCTTCCAAAAGATACCTTTTTACAAATATTATTATTAAATAGATAATTCCTGGGAAATTTATAAAAATACTTTTCCTTCGCCTTATTTCTATTATTTCTTACTCTCCTTTTTTAAAAACTGTATATAATATAAATAAAATACTACCTACTTTCTTCTACTTACTCTTTAATTACCTAATACGCTTTCAAAATTCCGAATACTAATATTGTTCCTTCTTACCCTTATTAGCGAAAATACTAATTATTTAATTATTTTGGTATTAATTATTAATTATTATATTTACCTATAATATTTCCTCTACTAACGTTCTAAATAAACCTTCTTTGTTATCATTTAATTCGAAGAAAAATAAATATTTTACCCCAAAAGGTTATTCGTAAAAATATATTTCTAATCTAAATATTATTATTAATACCCTAAACCGATTTACTCAATTTAGTAATTAT